CTAGGGTCCAGCATTCATATAAAATAAGACATACTATTCTTGGCCATAATGTTTCATAGTGTTTTGACTATAATTATATGGAAATAATATCATTGGAAAATCACATTTTTTTCGACCGCTGTCGTAAAGTTATTCGGGCTTGTGGCAAAGTGCCTGAGGCGAGGTGTTATGGCTCAATGCGGAAGGCAGCTTGGTACAAACACGTGGTATAAACACTTTCCAATCCCAACCCCCTCTCAGCACTGAGTCCACCAGCCACTGAGTCCACGAGCCGGCTGACTATGAGAAGGAAGTCGAACCTTGGGGGAAAAAAACGATGGGGAAATGCAAAGCAATGGCTAACATCCCGGCGGGAGGCAGTCCAGAAGGCAGTAAAATCTGGTGAAAACACAAAAGCCATTGTGGAGAGGAGTGTCATTTCAAAAATGGCCAAGAGGATGTGGACATCAAACCACGAAAAGGAGAAGCGGTTTAACCAGAAGAAGGAATTTTCCAGACGTGTTTTAGTTTGTAATTAACAAATTTTCAAGTGTCACTATAGGTTTTATCGAGTGGGGGTTGGTTTTATATCAATAAATTTTGGCAATTAATAACCAATTAATTCTTTTTAAAAATCATCAATGATCGGACAATAAAATTCAACCGTATGCCATCCCACTCAGGTCTTGATGCATTCAAGCAGGGCCTCATCTTCAAGGACCGAAAGCGACTGAGGGAAGAAGTTTCTATGCGAGATGCCGAAAACAAGAAGAAACGTAAAGTCTACATGTGGAATTTACAAAGGCGTCACTTGTCACATATAAGTTTGATTTTGTATGATTATGTTTCAGCCATCTCAATTTTGTCTTGGGTGACTAGAAAAACTAGCCTGGTTTCCAACTACCAGCCCAGGTGAAGAAGCTGTGGAAGGCTGGGGATGGGGGGCCCTCGAAGGACAACCACATTTGCCAACCACATTTGTTCTTTCTGTGACATGCCACAAGGCCCAAAGACGAAAGCTTTACCTTTCAGTGACATGAAAGTCTTGAATCCCACGGGTCAAAGCAAACTGCGGGATGCTATCAAGAAATGTGGCTGCAAACTGGTCACCACTATGCTTCTTGGATTGTAATTCTGTATGCGTTCACTTTGAACAAGATTAAAAAAAAAACATACCCTTGGCAAATATCATAATCATAACCCACTTCACCAACATCACCATCATCATCATCATCAACATAATCCTCACCGCCATCACCATCACATCATCATCATCATCATCATCATCACCACCACCATTATCATCATCATCATCATCATCACCATCATCACCATCATTATCATTTTCAGCACCATCATCACCATCAACTCCATCATATAATCACCATTGTCACCATTGTCACCTTCAACATCATCATCATCACCATCATCATCACCATCATCATCACCATCATCATCACCACTATCACATCATCACATCAACATCATCACGTCATCATCATCATCATCATAATCATCATCATCACGTCGTCGTCATCATCATCATCATAATCATCATCATCATCACCATCATCATCATCATCACCGTCATCATTGCCACCATCATCATCATCATCTTCTTCTTCAACATGATAAAACATCACTATCATCATCACCATCATCATCACCGTCATAAATCATCATCACAATCATCACCATCGTCATCATCATCACCATCATCTTAATCATCACCATCACCAACAGCATCCACCATCACCCACCATCAGCAAATTCTTCATCTCCATCTTCATCTTCGTATACACACATCCTCGCTATCTAAGGGGGCCCGATCCCAGGTGCCACTTGAATGTCATTGTGCAGAAGGACCCTTTCAAACCCAAGGTTAGTGCATCCTTCGCTGCATTTTTGAAAGGACTGCAGCTTGACATCCAAAGGTTTTTCCCATTTATATATTTTGTTGGTTTCAAATGAGCATTTAAAGCAAGGGTATGATGGCAAAGGGTTATATATTATGTTGTCCGCAACTCGGAAGTTATCTATTATGTAGTGACTACACTTTAAACTGTTTTGTTGTTGGGTTCTCGCGTCACACTCTCCCCTCTTCTATAACCCAAATCACGCGCGATGAACCCAATGAGAATCTTTTTTGGCACGCGCAATCATGGCGGTAGTGCCGGGTAGTGATGATGCTGTGAACTGTTTACTAGGAAGGCAGAAATTGCTCTAGCCATGGGAGCCTTGTACTCCAAGGTATGTGGCATCTCCAAAATTCTTCTTGTCTGGGGGAAAACGTGGCCTGCTAGTTCCATACAAGTGTCGAAGCTGCAAATAGAACAAAACAAATCCGTAACCAATTCTCTTTTGTTTGATTCATAGCTTTTTAACAGTTTCAGGTAGGCCCTTAGGTTGAATAAGTCTCATCCAGCAAGCTACCCCAGGAAAGCTTCTGCCTCAACCAAGCGAGATTTCTGGATCAGTCCCGGATTTCGGCGGGAGAACCCACGTTGTGCAACTGTCTTGGATGGTGCTCCATCACCCCCATGGAAACAGGTGAGTAGCAAAGAACAATTTCTTGAACCTCGCTGTCAAGTATACTCGAGAACCAAGTTTACGTCTGCTAATTTTAGTGGATGCAGTTACTGAAGTCTGAATCAAAAAAAGGGTTTGGGATTGCCATGTTACACCACCTGCCAAACCCTTGTTCCTGACACTGTCCTGCCGCTCAGGAACGAGTGGCGAAGTTCAAGACGGTGGGTGAGCGTGCAGTTGCCTTTGTCACGGCCGAGGAGCAGAAGACAGACCCCGCAACTTTGGCTTTCAACCCTTTTTCATGGGTGGCCAGGGTTCCGGCTCGAAGATATCTGAATCTCTTACTTCACTGGGTTATCTGTTCAAAATTAATTCTATTATTATGACTATTGAATCATTACTGGCCAGATTAATAATAGTAATACTTGTCTATTTAATCTTAACATCTCATGTGATCTTCTCCATGACCATGTCGTTGAAGATATTCGGTGCCAGTGTTGGCAAATCACGAGCCGATCGTGGGCTTCCGTCAGGGCAAGGAAGCACTCTTCCGAGCCCCTCTTTTGTCGCGGTGGCATTCCGCGGCCCTCTTGCGGTAAGCACGTTCCATGTCCTTGAATAAGCTGCCAAGTAGTTGACCCATGATCTTACAATCCCTCATCAATATGTTTCTTGACGAGCACGACATCCTCGATGCTGAATGAGGAAGTATAGCCAATCATGTCTGACACAGTCAGTTGCAAATGATGCAAGTTTCCTTTAGCCAGGGGGGGTGTAATAATAACATATAATAACCAATCTTACCTAATCCACCTTGAGTTCGGCTAAGGAGTTGAAGCACCTTCTTTTGAAGCTGACAAGTTCTGATGCCATTTCTTTTTTCAGGGAAATTGATGGGAGCCGCGAGATGGTTCGCCGCTGGGGTGTTTGAAGGGGAACTTCAAACAACACGACCACAATAGTGTGGCATTCACTTCGGAGAGAAAACAGCAAACTTTCAACCGAAGGCTTCAAAGCAATATTATATATCATTATCATAACTTCTCATCTTAGAAAACCTAATTTTATTTATAATATTGTCTTTGACATGTCTTCGGGTCGCTCTTGGCGGGTGCTTGGATTTGATGGGCCCAAATAGATTTACCAGCAATTTTGATAAAGCAATCGCAGTGATTATATGCCAACAATATTATATGCCAGGGTCCTCCATTGATTACAACATTATCAGTCCAGTTGGAAACTCCCCAATTCATGGCTTGGGCCTTCCAAGGGTTACAACCATTCCAGCAGGGCAATCATTACACCATTACGATTCCAGTGGGGAAATCTTGGGTACTCCAATGTTTACATGTTACACCAGTACAATTCCAGGGGAACAACCCTCAAACCATGGCTTGGGTCCTTGATTTCAGTGGGAGAATCCCCAAAAGGTTATTCTACCCCCACATGATGGCTTGGGTTCTCCAACCGCTATGAAATTACTTAGTGGGACAACCCTCAAGCCAAGTGCCATGGGTGAATCCTGGCAGGCAGTGACATGGTGGTATCCGAGAAAATCCAATTTCCAACCTAGTAGCCACACACTATGACATGGAAGAAATCAATAAAGGCGAAGAATGGTTTTAAGAGATGTATTTTCCCCAATGTTCAAAATTCAATTGTCTTGAAACATCACCCACTCTTCGGGAGCGCTCTGGACTGTTTTGGGGATGGATTTCAATTGTCTTAAAACGTTCGGGAGCTCTAGACTGTTTAGGGATGGTATTCAATGGATTTCAATTGTCTTAAAACGCTCGGGAGTGCTCTGGACTGTTTTAGGTAACTCATTCGGGAGCGCTCTGGACTGTTTTAGGGATGGATTTCAATTGTCTTAAAACGTTCGGGAGCGCTCTGGACTGTTTTAGGGAACTCATTCGGGAGCGCTCTGGACTGTTTTAAGGATGGAATTCAATTGTCTTAAAACATTCGGGAGCGCTCTGGACTGTTTTACGGTTTGAAAATTGGTGATTTCATAGAAAACATCAAGCTGCTGTTAAGCAAATCACCTTGGCCAGGGGAGGGTAGATTAGGCCCCATGCTGGCCAACGTCGGGAGCGCTCTGGACCTTGGCCAGCCCATACACAACTTTGAATGGGGCGTACTTTTTGGACCTTGGCCAGCCTCTCGGAATATTTTCAACCTGCTGTTAAGATAGTAGGGGAGGGGCTGGCCAACCTCGGGAGCGCTCCGGACCTTGGCCAGGAGAGGGTCGATTAGGCCCCATGCTGGCCAAGGTGATTTGCTTAACAGCAGCTTGGATTTTTTGCATTTTTTTTGATTTTTTTAACTGACCTTTAAGTACAAATCAGATTCTCCAATCATCTTCCCATTTGGTTCAAGGCTCAGCCCATTGCGGACGAAGGTCATGCACACAAGCAGTGGGAGTTGGACATCTTTTAATTTTGTGATCTTTTGTTTTGTGTCTTTATACGTGGGGCGGGGCCTCTTTTGCCATGCCGCCCCAAAAGCGGCAAAGCGGCAAGGGGAAAGTCAAAGCAGCGGCTTCCCACACACCCTTGCTAGATCAAGAGAATGCGGAAGCCATTGCTCCAAACGGTCACTAGCCTTCAATTCAGATACTTAATAAAGTTATTATTATTAGAACCTATTAAAGAATGTCTTAGCATGATCTTCAACTCAAATCACATCATGACATTCAGCCCAATGAAGTCATTACCATTGAGGAGCTGCCTACAATGTGGAGCTGCTCCAGTCGGCCCAAGAAGCCTTGGCTGCTCTCAAGGATGTTTGGCCAGGTCTTCCTGAAGAAGCTGCCTTGGGTATCGGAGATGGAGGACAACAAGCCACATGGTGCATTTGCAGTGCATGTATGACTCATCGGGTTCCAACTAAGGGACCGTGGGATTGTCATTGGCTCAAGTGAAAATATAAATGAGGGGTACCCAGGGTTCTAGGATGCGATTACAAGGGCTACAGTAATTCTGAATATGCAAAGCTTGGAATAGTCGGTCATGTTATAATTATGATAAATAATAATAAGGCGATAATCCCATAGTTGTGGATGGAAGAAATCCTGAACCACCTTGCATGGTAGAAACCCTTTTTAAACCTTAATAATAATAAAATATTATTATAATAATCACCTATCCAGGATTTCTTCCATCCACACTAGTTGTTTGGAATTGCACTGGTTCGACACTTTAGTGACAATACCCTGTCCCTGCCATGGTTTACCAACCAAAACGCTAAGGCTGCTTTTGATGCAAACCAGTGCAAGCGCTCCTTGTTTGGGGCAGGGAATCAGCAGACTTCTAGCTACCGATGCGCACAGAACCTCTTGAAGTGTGACATCTTCTTCAATGCAGATCCTTCGGTGGATGCCTCATTTTGTTTTTAAGAAATTGCATTGGGATTCGGAACAGCTATTTCATTTTTATCCAAATTGGTCTTAACAGCCCCTGTTGTCACCAGGTGCCCCTTCGCCAGAAATCTATCAACGAGATTGGTGAGAGGTACTACACTGATCCATCACCATTCCATGATAACCTTTGCCTAGCAGTCCCCGCTGACTGGATGCAACAAAGTTGTGATATCACTCGAGCCAAGCCAGTTTCTCCTATGGAGAATGTGATTGCCTTCCTGCTGAACCCTGGCTAGAACTCGGGATCACACTGACTTTTTATTTAGATGACGGCCCCCAAGGATTGAACCATCAAGGGATCGATGTTCATTAAAGAATGGTATTATTAAGGGGGTGATCTTGTAACTGTTGCACCCAGCCCTGGAAAATGTGTGCACCCCAGGAGCATCTACCGTGATATTGATGATGAGGTAAAGCTGGATCAATGGAAGCGCTACTTTCTGAGTGCCCCTTGGTTATAAACCCTTGGTTTGTGTGGTCGGGTGGAATCTGAGTTGGGTTGCCGGTTCCATATATCCATATCCTGGGTTAGCAAATTTCATGTTGGTACAGTAACTCAGCACCACATGAAAATATAACATGATTCTGATGGTCAATCTGTTTGAGAAGGTTTCACCCAAAAATAGTCCAACTTCTCTTGGTCAACCTAAGGTCAACTGTGAGTATGTGATTGCGAGTTCGGATGATGAAATCTATTTCCTGAGTGCCAATGGCCGGCAAAGCTTGAAGGCTGATCAGGACCATCATAGTTCAGCTGCTATGCGATTGTTAATTTCCACATTTTACCTTGGGTTTCCCAATGCCAATCCCGAGATGATAAATCAATAACAAATTTTCCCCAAAGTCAGTGTGCTGGATGACCATGTGTTGAAGGGGTTCCAATGAGTGTTCACAACATACCCATCCACCAACCAGGAGACCATGACTCACACATGCCTTCAGAAGATCTTCAGTGTTCTGAACTACAAAGCCCGGCTTGAGAAAATCACGGGCCCGTTGAGCGTCTTGGAATCTGAAATTAGATTTTGACTTTGACATAAGCCCCATGACCATAAACAATTTTCCATGGAATGGGGTGTCCGAAATAAAAATAAATAATCATTCATCACATATTATTATTTTTCAAAAAGCGGGGTCACATACAAGGCTTGGAACATATTTATTTGGAACCCCCATTGGCCATTCAAGTTAAAATGGATTTAATCCTATGTCCCCATACTGGAGGCACGGAAGCTTTCTGCCAGAAGTTCGCAGAGCGCTACAGGCCAGCTAGCGAAGACGAACGAGTTTCTTGCCTTTGACTGGAGGCTGTTACCAGTTTCTTACCAGTTTCTAGTTATGTTCCCCCATGTTCCAACCACGGACTGCGGACTGGGGACTCTGACGATGTCCTTGGGCCCGGGGTCTCTCAACTCCTGTGCCGGCAAGGTGACGGACGCGTTTGTGGACACTTGCATCACCCTGTCGCGGAGGGTGCTATCTGTACCCTCCCTTCTCAACCTTCTTCTTGCTGCTGACGAGGAGGGCAGCTCCAAGAATGTTTTCAATTCATGGACCAAACTTCAGGTAATAGTGCAGAGGAGCAAGACGTCCAAGAATGTGGAATGGTGCTTCCATTCGCTGTATCTTGTTTTTAATGTTATACGTTAATGGGTAATGATAAACTTGAATCAAAATAGACTAGCCGCTGGTGTGTAATTTAATTATCATGTTAGGATTTTGCCATGGCAAACCACCAGCAACCAGCAAACTAAGGTACGATGGGTGGAAGAATAACCACCTTCCATCAGAGATGATGACATGGAGAGGCCTCAAGGATGCGTTGAATGGGAAAGGTGCCGTTGATGTCTTCGTTGGCCAAATGGAATTCAAAGATCTCTTGTTCAACAAGCTTGTCCCGAAACTCATCTCTAATACATGGACAATAATATGTGGTGAACGAAATGGTGTTGAAGACCTTTTCTGGAACTGTTTCCCCGAAATAAAAACTATGTTGTTCCAAATGGAAGCTGTTCAACTTGAAGAGTCCCAACTGTTCAATGTTACTGTTCCTATGAGATATTTTGTTTGGACCACTTTCTTTATTCCTCAGCCATTCATTTCTGCACCAAGGACCTACAACTGGGATGAGAAGATCACGACACTGATGCGAGATACGGTCAACTTGCACACAACGTATCGTGAGTCATGCCCCTATTACTGAATGGGTGCAATCAATGAAAAATATGGTGTCATTTTCTGTTACTGTTACGGTCGTGATTGCAGCATCATTGAGGAAATGTGGTTGGTCCTTCAGCAAAGATGTAGATCTCACATGGCGGGGAGGCACGGTTCTAATGTTCAATGGACGTACTAAATATTATTGACTGGTAATCAATTACACTTAACACTTTCAGGGAATTCACACCATTGCCAGGATGGCCAAGATCGGCCGAACTCTTCTGGTCGTTTGTGGAGGACGTATCTATGAATGATGGGGTGCAATTTTAGTGCCATCCTTTTTAGTGCAATTATAGTGTGTTGGGTGTTTCAAGTTTGTTATCAGGATCTTCTGTACTCAGACACGTTCCTACCTACTTTGAAGAACTTGGTTCGACATCGGAAGCCTGCTACTTGCCTTATTACCTTGAAGGCCTTCATGCTTTCCTGTCAATGACTTAGCTTTATTTGGAAGCCAAGCCATCCTTCAGGTTGCTGATTGGATGGACAATACCGAAATCATGGCCCGGTTGGATGCGGTCAAGAAGTATCTTGGCAGTTGAATCAGTTGAAAGTGTCATGGATAATGTCAGCAACAGCATCTTCTTGGTGATTCGTTGACATTAATTTGAAATCCCAAAGTCCTTCAAAATTGGCTAGGCAACATACTGCTGAAGTCAAAGCGTCAAAGAACAATGACCAGGAGTGGGTTAGATCTAGTTTAACCTATGCCCGGTCATTCATTTAATTTCCAATCACGCTTTCCCACCTTACCCCCTTGGTCCTTGCAGGAGGAAACCGGAGAGGACGACCTGCCAATCGAGGATGATGATCAAGGGGCCAGGGGTGAGAATGAGGAAGACGACCCTACTGGGACTGCTCACATGGAGGCATACTGCCTTCACCAATAATAACTTGAGAAACAACTGGAAAAAAATCAATCATGAATTTGGGGTTGGCTCGGAATGTGGGACTTGCCTCAGGTACTGCCCCAGATCACCACTCAAAGACCCAAAAGAGGTGGTGGGAAGGAAGCAGTTCAGAAGCCCCCTGCACTTGAAGAAAGTGCAAAACAGAAAGTTGAAGCGTTTTGAACTCAGAATTTTGGTCATGCAACCCCATGGCAACAAGTCATTTCCCAGATTTTAGGGGAAGACCCATGAGTCGTTGTCACAGGTTCAAGAAGAAGGCAAGCCAGACAGTGCGAACACATGTCCGCCTGGTGGTAGAAGAGGACTCATGTTTCGTAATAAAACACCCCAACGGCTTCCCAGAAACAAAAAATCTTACCATTGATGCTTTCTCCTTTCTCCTCCTATGGTGGCTGCAGGACAATATGTCAAACATGACCAAAGCCTTCCAGGGAACAGCCTTTGTAGATTGGAAGGCTGAGGTCTGTCAAACAACGAGTCTTGTCTCCAATTTGTTTGCTACCACAAGTTTGGTTGGGTGTGAAATCAAAAAGAATTGCAATGCTACCCCATCACTGTCATCCCACCATCTGATTTTTGGACATGTTGAACGTGGCCGTTGAATTTCAGAGATTCTGAGGAACCAGATCACGAAGATGGTCGCCATCTACTTCGAACCTTGTCATCCCTTTTCCAGAGACAAAGCTAGATAGATCAACAATGGTTAGACCAGTGGTGTTGTGATTGGATTTTAGGGCTTATAAAAATCTTGCCACAGCCCACGCCAGAACCCACGCCGTGGTATGATAACAATACAAGTTCCCCGATTTACAATTTTATTATTATTATTTATAAATAATATATAATATAAATTATAATATAATAATAAAATTCTATAATATAATCCTTAGTCAGTGGGGAAGATTCTTGCCTTGAGGATACCAAGACCGTCGGAGAAGCCCAAACACAACCAACACTTCGCCTTCCGCCGTTGCGAGAAGGGCGCCACGCCAAGCTGCTTGGATCGGCCATAGGCCTGCGTTTCAATGCCGAGCTTGGTGGGATGAACCCTGGTGACGGGGTGGTGGTTCTTGATGGAGGGAGAGATGGTGTCTTGGCATTAAACAAATTGGACCACTGGAATCAGGATCCACAAAATACAACAAAAAGCCAACATGATTCACATTGCTTTCAGAATTGTTTTCAGAATCGGGGATCCACAAAACCCAGAAGTGCAATCGCTTGCTACTAGTACAACCCATGTGGGCCAGTTGTCAGTTGTCAATCACTTTAATAGTCAATTCAGTGCTTACTCCACCTCAGGACTGCAAGCCCCCATCCTGTCCGCCATCAAGCCCCCGTCCTCGGAGCCGATGTCGAAGGTCAAACTGGTGAAATACCTCATGTGGGATGAGAAGAGCATCAGAGAGAGGAAACACCGAGACCGAGGCAGTGCAATCAACCAGATGGAGCGAATGATCATCGTTACATCGGAGGAGATGGGTTGGAGCTTTCACAACAGAGTCCATTACGCTGGCACCAATAGGGGGGATGTGATCGCCCCGATCAAAGCCCCGTCTTGGGATGAACCATGGCTCTTTGAAATCAGTATGAATTCAACAATCTAGATATCACTCAAGGGGGGAAAGTAGTGATTATGATTATGGATGATGATATGATGACAGGGATGATTACGATGGTTGGGTTCGCGCGCCGTTGGGGGTGTCCGTGGAACCCCCCCCCGCGGCGCGCGAACCTGCTGCTGGAACTTGATGGAGATGATTCTGATTTTTTGTGATGACGGTGATGATGGTGATGGTGATGATGATGATGACGATGATGATTATGATGATGATGACAATGATGATGATGATGATGATGATGATGATTATGATGATGATGACAATGATGATGATGATGATGATGATGATGATGATGATGATGATGATGATGATGATGATGATGATGATGATGATGTTTTTGATGATGATGATGATGATGAGGATGATGATGATGACGATGATGATGATGATAACGACAATGATGCAGATGATGATGATGATGTTCATGATGATGATGATGATGATGATGATGATGACAACGAGGATCATGATGATGATGACGATTGTGATGCCGATGATGCTGCTGATGATGATGATGTTTTTGATGATGATGATGATGAGGATGATGATGATGACGATGATGATGATGATGACGACAATGATGCAGATGATGATGATGATGATGTTCATGATGATGATGGTGATGATGATGATGATGGCGATGATGATGATGATGGTGATGATGATGATGATGATGACGAGGATCATGATCATGATGATGATGATGATGATGACGATGGTGATGATGATGATGATGATGTTGATGATGATGATGGTGATGATGATGATTTTTATTGATTATGATGTTGATTCGGTGATTGTGATGAGAAAGACCATTGATGAAGATGATGAAGATGATGACGACAACAGTAATACTGGTTCATGTTGTTGCCGATGGTGGTGCTGAGTGACTCATCAATGACCATCAGGATAATCACTACTATCGAATTATGAGCATGTGGCTGCCTGTCCTCTGGATCAAAAACAAATAACTCAATGTTTGGGATTCTAACTGAAGGGTGCACTAACCCAAACAGAAGTCGTAAAGACGAACCCTACTAACAAAACATGTTTGAATAATAGGTTCCTTGGACCAACTGCCAGAGTCAATATGTTTGGGACGGATTTTTTGAGGACCCCACAAAAATTAAATTGAAATCCTTGGGCGTGCCACTTACAGATATAGTGTATGCAACCCAGGCAGTTTGTCACCAACAGTTTTCTACCAATAATTCATTTGAATTCTCCAACATTCTTACTTTAATTATTATTAATTATTATTTATTATTTATGTATTAGGCCCCCAGTTATCTATTTATTTCTTAATTAAACTATCCCCATTCATAGTCTGGCTGAGGACAAAGATGAAACGTGGCGCTTGTCGTTGGCCAACAAGAAGCTTCTCTTCGCTGCAAATCGGATCGCTGTCGGGAACAAGCCTGATGTTCAGGGAACCGACAAACAAGGTGCCTTGTTCGCACGCGTGCCAAAAACCGCAGCACTGTGCCACCGATCTCAGTGTGGGATGGAAGCGGTGACACCCTGCTTCCGCCGTAGCACCACACACACCCGGTATAATTGTTCTTGGTGTTGTCATCTCTGTTTGTAGCTTTGATCGCCGACAAACTTCTGACCATTACACTCGGCTGTGCAAAGGCCGTCGTCGTGATGCAGATGAAGAACCAGTTGCATATCATGCTATGCCGAAGGAAGCAGCATCTTGGTATCAAATTTAAATGATGGTGATCCAGGGCTTAGGATTTTCATGAAAAATTGCCGATGATTAGATTCAACACCTGGGATGGTGACGCATAGTTTTTTTATTTTATTTTATTATTTTACATTCAGCCCCCGGCCTCAGGTCAATGAGATCTTTGAAGAGCTGAACATTGGCTACATGCTTGACCTGTCATGTTGTTTCTTGGCTACAAGCCATCAACTCCTTGATTTTCAAACAGCATGGTTTTTTACCCATTGTAATTCTTGAAGACCGTGGGAATGCCTACCTGCAATAAGAGTTGTAGTAGCTTCTGAACTGAACATTGGGTACCACCAAATGTTTATTTATCAATTATTATAGATTCAATCCAAAGTTATATCCCGTCAATCATTCCCATAGGACCATTTCCTGGGTTAAAATTTACTACATGGTCGCTGTGAACATTCTGCACAACCAATTTGGGTTATTGAACTGATTGTCAAATCAATTTATGACCAATTAAATTATATAATTAATAAAATTCATATTGAAAAATAAATCATTGTCTTTTCCTTTTTCCTACTATAGGGGCCCTCGGCTCAGCTCAAGGTGATGGAAAAACCGCATTCGCTGCAATTTGCCGGAGATGCCCATACATCGGGTTGGTCTTCACACCGGACCATGCAACTTGGATAGAACCATATAAACGGTCCTTTTGTTACTCCCAGTACCATACCCAATTTTATGTTCCATTAACATAACATACCAAGATGAAAAAAATCATTGAATTAATTATTACCCCAAGAATCCCAAGTACCATACTACCATACGGTATTACATACCAATTATTTTGTGGCCTCTCTCCCTGTCACCTAGGCAACTCTGCTGATGAAGCGTCTGGAAGCGATGGTTTTCCAGGCAATGCAGACCTCTTCCTCGCCGCTGTTTGAGCCTGCGCTGGCTCAGCTGCTGGCAGGGAGTTCCAAGAAGGTGCACAATTCTTAGTAATGCTACTGTAGTAAGTTGTTCTTTGAACATTGGCTATCATAAAAAATCAGTTTATAATAATAAGGAACATGCAACCCCTGGTAGGCTGCGAAAGCGAGACCTAAAAAGAAGGCCAGGAAGGATGATGATGATGATGATGAGTCGGATGACAATGAAGATGAAGGAGGCGAGCCGGATGAACAGGAGGAGGAAGACGAAGATGACGGTGAAGACCAAGAGGAAGCAGAGGAGGAAGGCAGTGAGGATGAGGGTGAGGACGAAGATGATGCCTCCATGGAAGGTGAAGATGAGGGCCCGGAGGAGGAGGAGGATGAAGGGGAGCAGGATGAGGATGATGAAGGTGAGCCCAACAAAGGTTCAATGCGTAAGGCAACGGAAAAGGCCAAGCCGAAGGCAAAGGCGAAAGGAGGTGCGAAGGCAAAAGCCAAACCTAAGGCAAAGGCAAAGGCAAAGGGAAAGGCATCTGCAAAGAAGAAGGCGGCTGCCAAAGGCAGACCAAAGGCTGGGGCAAATCTGGAAATAATGTGTTAATCAGGCTTATGACAAGGTACTCAGAAATATCAAACATACCTGCTGGTCATTCGTGCAGGCTGGTTCAAAGAAGGCTTCTGATGTCTTGGCAAAGCTGAGGGATTTGCAGTCGTGAAGCAAGGCTGACAAAATTCGAAATTTCCCGGTAGATTTTGACATAGCTGACATAGCTTAGATGTGGCCGAGCCTTGTGTGCGGATCGGGGTAAAAGAATTAGCTTACAATCGACCATCAGTAGTGAGCAGGCGATTTTTTAATTCACGTCGTAAGTTTTTGATTCCATGTAAACTGGCCACCTAACATCTATCCTAATAATCATTTTGGCTCAGTGTCATGTAACAATGGCACACCGGAACTTCAAGAAATCCCAATTGGTCTTAGCTGAAGATTGTGCCGGCTTGGGACCTCTCCATGAAAGTTGTAAGCTCCTTGGTTTACTTTTGGTGGATGACATTTGTTTTTCCGTCGCCACTGTTAAGTCGAGACAGTTGATTGTTTTCAAACCAATGTTTTGTTGGTTCAACTTCTGACCATGGGTTTTCCCTTAAACACCCTTAAGCCAATTCTATGGGACTAAGGCTTGCGGGGGTGAAAGGAAAACTTTACTATGTCTCTGAGAAGGACCCGAAACTGTTGAAGAGGCTGAAGAAAGTCTACAAGCCCGCGTTGGTGAGTGATGATGCAACAAAACCAAAGAGCCCCTAAACTTCAAATGTCATTTATTGTGAAAAAACATATTGGGTGTAGACTACCACAAATGGCGTTAGTCCGTATATTATTGTGGAAACAATGGTGCTCCCGGCCGTGCTTTCCGCTAAGTGATCTGAGGTATCGAGAAATTGATAGATATCTTTGGAAGCGGTGCTCCATGTCAGCCGTTTTCGAAAATCGGCCAGCAGTTGGGGTCGAAGGACCCGAGAAGCAGGGTTATGGAAAGAGCTCCCCAGCTAGAAAAAAAGTGTTAAGCTTCAGTGCGGTCAGACAGACAGATATTCAAATTTATTTATCAATGGCATTGCTGCCTCAGGTTGTTGGGCGAATCAACAAGTGGCTGCCCAACACATATCTACTTGAGAACGTCCCGAACATGACTTCAAAGAAGAATAGCAAGTTCTTTAAGAAGTTGCTTCGTAAGCCCCTTGTCCTAAACATGGTAATGGTTTCAATGGGTGAATTTAAACAATCATTTCGTCGTCACCTGATTAAATTCAGAGCTTACTAAGGCTGAAGGCAAAAGGCCATTACAAAGTCTATTGGAAGGCGTGATTGGTCTGTACATCAAAAATGTTTGTGACTATTTATGTATTACTAGCTTTCATCTCCCCAATTGCTTCTGCAGGTCTTGGATGCCCAGGACTATGGACTGCCACAGCGCCGCCGGCGCCTCTGGATAGTTGGAGTGAACACCAATGCAGCGAAAGGTGCCTCGGCCATGGTGCGAAAGTCAGCGTGGGGCCCCCCAAAGTGACCCTTCAAAGATAGGGATTGTATGGGTCTAGACTAGATATGAATTTCGAATTCAGTCAAAATTTCAGTAATAATTTTATCAATCCAATTAAATTAAATTAACAAATAATTTTGACTGAATTCGAAGTTCATATCTAATCCACATCCAAATTTGGCTCATTAGTTGAACCCTCGTGGTTGTTCCCAGGAAAATTTACTTGGCCCAAGCCTATCCGGAAGAAAGTCAAGCTGAGTGAGGTGCTGGGAAGGCCAGTTAATTACCAATGTTGTAAAACGAGCGACTCATTCTTTTCAAAATAGTGTTCTCATTGTCATTGAGCCCTGGAGGAAAAGCAAAGATATGCAATTTCCATCTTCGAGTGGTGGTAGGAAAAGGTTGCGAGAGGGCCTGCGGACTCTGGTTCGAAACAACGAAGATGCTGAAGCATGCTGGTTGCTTGATTGTATTTTAGTAGTAAGTTGCCATTGATTAGAATGATTTTGGTTGATGTGGGTCAAATGATACGAAGTTCAATGGGATTCTAAATTTTGACACAGGGTATTCTGATCCCAACCATTGATCGCCCAGGGTGATTGACCGCGCTGCCAGCAGGAAGTTTGCTGGAAAACCGAGCTTTGAAGTGTAACTTGCCATCAATAATAAATCATGGTCAATTCAAGTCAGATTTCGATGAAATCCCCTTTGATATCCTTCAATTTCCCAGGAGCCCAACCCTGACCCGTGCTCGTGGTGGTGCGGAATCCTTTTGGGTGACCAGCCACAATCGCTTCATGACCCTTGAGGACTTGTGTGGGCGCGTCATAATTATCTGAAATTAATCTAAAACAACTAACTAGAGTTCCCTACTAAGCCAAGTCTTATTTAAAATGACTTTTTCATTGAGCCACCTCGTAACATTGGAATGGAAACATTGGTTCACCTTTCAGGAGAAAGCTCTGGTGCAGGGATGGAAGCCAATGAGCCTCAAGCCCGATGATCTTTCAGCAAGGGAGCTGGGGATGGCTCTAGGAAATGCTTGGCCACTTTCTGTATCAGCAAAGCTGATTGAACAGCTGAACAAATGTATGGGCTGGCAGCCGAAGGACTGACCCATCGGCAAGCACTTGCACTTGCTTGAAAAAAACGCTATTCTCTTGCTGGCAACGATGATGTGTAGTAAACACTCAATCATTTTCGAAATCCATAACCCCAGTAGAATATATGAATGGTAGACTATTTTGATCGATTAAAGTTGAGCCATTTATTACTTAGGTGATTTTTGTCGTTGGGCATCCCATTTTTCGTCCTCGACCCAATTTGAGGTCCGCACTGGGTGGCAGCAGCAGCCACAGGTGCAGGGTGTTGCCGGCCAGCGCCGGCGCCAGTGGGTCTGGGCATGTTCAAACATGGGATGTCCCCCAACATATGAATTCAAATATTACCCTCTGGAAATTAACATAGACCCTAGTTTTAATGGAAACTAATCTTCCAACCCTTATCTGCCAGGGTCTATGTTAATTTACCAGAGGGTAAATAGTAACTAGGCAATACTGGGACATTCCCATCTTTGAACATACCCCTTAGACCCTACCCTCCAACCGAACCCAGACTGGTTACAGGGGTTACAGGGATTAACCTTTTGAAGGGTGTATGAAATGTTGTTATTAAATAATCTTATTAATCCTAAATCATCACGCCATCTTTGTTAGACACCATCATATGAAAACAATCTTTATTGTCGATAGGGAACCATCATTAATTTATGATGTTTGAGCTGTTAGTAAATTATCCTGGGCTGCTGTTAAAAGCTTATGGGACCTCGTACTAGGCCTCATTTAAAATATTAGGTTACACTTTTTACCTATCTTAACAGCAGCCCAGTAAAAACATTAAAAACATTAATCCCCCGAAAGGCTTGTGTTTTTAATGTTTTTAATGTTTTTAAATCAATTAAAAACATTAAAAACACAAGCCTCTTGGGGGATTAATGTTTTGAATGTTTTTAATTCCAAAATCACAGGTCTGAAGTCCCGGATTCTGGAGCCTCTGTGTTTTTAATGTTTTTAATGTTTTTAATGTTTTTAAATCAATTAAAAACATTAAAAACATTAAAAACAAAAGCCTTTTGGGGGATTAATGTTTTTAATGTTTTTAAATCAATTAAAAACATTAAAAACATTAAAAACACAAGCCTTTCGGGGGATTAATGTTTTTAATGTTTTTAATGTTATTAAAAACATTAAAAACACAGAGGCTCCAGAATCCGAGACTTGAGGCCTGTGATTTTGGAATTAAAAACATTAAAAACATTAATCCCCCAAGAGGCTTGTGTTTTTAATGTTTTTAATGTTTTTAATTGCTTTAAAAACATTAAAAACATTAATCCCCCGAAAGGCTTGTGTTTTTAATGTTTTTAAATCAATTAAAAACATTAAAAACACAAGCCTCTTGGGGGATTAATGTTTTTAACGTTTTTAATTCCAAAATCACAGGTCTCAAGTCTCGGATTCTGGAGCCTCTGTGCTTTTAATGTTTTTAATGTTTTTAAATCAATTAAAAACATTAAAAACATTAAAAACAAAGCCTTTTGGGGGATTAATGTTTTTAATGTTTTTAAATCAATTAAAAACATTAAAAACATTAAACACACAAGCCTTTCGGGGGATTAATGTTTTTAATGTTTTTAATTGATTTAAAAACATTAAAAACATTAAAAACATTAAAAACACAGAGGCTCCAGAATCCGAGACTTGAGGCCTGTGATTTTGGAATTAAAAACATTAAAAACATTAATCCCCCAAGAGGCTTGTGTTTTTAATGTTTTTAATTGATTTAAAAACATTAAAAACATTAAAAACATTAATCCCCAGAAAGGCTTGTGTTTTTAATGTTTTTAATGTTTTTAAATCAATTAAAAACATTAAAAACACAAGCCTTTCAGGGGGATTAATGTTTTTAATGTTTTTAATTCCAAAATCACAGGTCTCAAGTCTCGGATTCTGGAGCCTCTGTGTTTTTAATGGTTTTAATGTTTTTAAATCAATTAAAAACATTAAAAACATTAAAAACAAAAGCCTTTTGGGGGATTAATGTTTTTAATGTTTTTAAATCAATTAAAAACATTAAAAACATTAAAAACACAAGCCTTTCGGGGGATTAATGTTTTTAATGTTTTTAATTGATTTAAAAACATTAAAAACATTAAAAACATTAAAACACACAGAGGCTCCAGAATCCGAGACTTGAGACCTGTGATTTTGGAATTAAAAACATTAAAAACATTAATCCCCCAAGAGGCTTGTGTTTTTAATGTTTTTAATTGATTTAAAAACATTAAAAACATTAAAAACATTAATCCCCAGAAAGGCTTGTGTTTTTCATGTTTATAATGTTTTAATGTTTAAATGTGTTTATAGTTCCTTAAATTGATTTAAACTCTCTCCGGCTGTGCGCCTGGTACATCCTCAGGGCTGTATCCAAACTTTCACTGGCCGTTGCGCCTGGTGCAGCCTGAGGGCTGTATCCAAACTTTCACTGGCCGTTGCGCCTGGTACAGCCTCAGGGCTGTATCCAAACTTTCACTGGCCGTTGCGCCTGGCGCAGCCTGAGGGCTGTATCCAAACTTTCACTGGCCGTTGCGCCTGGTACAGCCTCAGGGCTGTATCCAAACTTTCACTGGCCGTTGCGCCTGGTGCAGCCTCAGGGCTGTATCCAAACTTTCACTGGCCGTTGCGCCTGGTGCAGCCTGAGGGCTGTATCCAAACTTTCACTGGCCGTTGCGCCTGGTACAGCCTCAGGGCTGTATCCAAACTTTCACTGGCCGTTGCGCCTGGTACAGCCTCAGGGCTGTATCTAAACTTTCACTGGCCGTTGCGCCTGGTGCAGCCTCAGGGCTGTATCCAAACTTTCACTGGCCGTTGCGCCTGGTGCAGCCTGAGGGCTGTATCCAAACTTTCACTGGCCGTTGCGCCTTGTGCAGCCTGAGGGTTGTATCCAAACTTTCACTGGCCGTTACGCCTGGTGCAGCCTGAGGGTTGTATCCCAACTTTTCTTGGCCATTGCGCCTGGTGCAGCCTGAGGGTTGTATCCAAACTTTCACTGGCCGTTGCGCCTTGTGCAGCATGAGGGTTGCATCCCAACTTTTTTTTGGGTATTGCTCCTGGTGCAGCTTTCGGGTGGTAGCCCAACTTTCCGTGGCCATTGCGCCTGGTGCAGCAGGAGGGCTGTATCCGAACTTGGCTTCGTTCACTCTATCATCTAAAACAACAACCCTGTTGCATCCTTTCCTTCACTCGGTCTTCACTTCCTCTTTGTCTTCCCTTCGCCGGGCCTTCCTTAACGGAACTTTTCTTTTGGGTCCCTTGCCTGCGCTTGGTTCACTTCGCTTTGCTTTACCAGGCTTTCCTCCACGGCGCTCCTTTCGCTGCACTTCCCTTGGTTGAGCGCTGAGCTTTCCTGCAAGTGGCCTCCCTTGGCCAGGTTTCCCTCCGCTGTGCTCACTTGGCTGGGCTGCCTGTAGTTTGCTTCCCTCAACTGGGTTCCCTGCGTTGAACTTCCCTGCGGTCAGCTTCTTCCCTCGGGTGGTGGGTGCTGCATAATTTCTGCTTCCTGATGCTAACCCCCCCAAGGATAATACGCCCGGTGATATGTTTTTTAAGTAGGAGTTATTTAGCATTCGGGTGCCTCAAATAATGACAGCAAGGACCTTATTAACTATTTTTTTTGATTTCAAACTTGTTTCGAACTCTTTTAAATTCCGAAAAAAATATTACTGAACATTGGCATTCGATGCTTTCCCCTCGTATTCAATGCAAAAACCTTATTAATAGAAAAATGTTTCTTAATTTCGAAATTGTTTAAAGTCCTCCTTAATTCCAGAAAAACATGGCCAAAAATTAAATTTTGAAGGTCTCGTGCATGGGTTTATATTTATATATATATAATTATATATATATATATATAGACTGCATGCACACACTTGCATCGTTTATGTACATATATTTGTATATACGGTATATACGTGCTTGACTTCAGGCACATGCCCAGAGAAAGAGACGCAAGCCGATTCGTTTCCAGACTGTGCGCAGTGACAAGATGTGAGGGAGGAAACTCAGTGAATCCAGACGTGTCGGCTCAAAGACCAACCATTAACCATGGGTTTCAAAAATGGAGACAGGGTGCGATACTCGCACACCAATGGCCTTGTGCAAGAAAGCACGGTCCTCGCAACGCGCTTGGACGACTTCTGCATTGTTGGGCAAAGCGCCTTGCTATGCAAAGATTTATCAGTACAAGAATGCGGTCTGCACGCAAGAGTCACCATTTCAACGGTTTTCTAGAATGGGATGATGGCACCTACTTTTCTTCAAATCAAGATCAGCATGGGACAGGATGTATAACGCGGTGTTTACACTTCAGGACAAAGTGGGCAACAATGTTCGGGGAAATAGAAATTGGAGCTTGGTGAATTTTGAATGGTAATAGCCATCTGATTCCTGAGGCGTGGCGGATGTGAGGCCGGATTCTCATTGGATTCATCCATCACGATTGCAGGTGGGGCCCGATGCAATTCATGACTGCCACTTTTCAGTGCCAGGTGCAGTTGTCGTGCGTTGTGCTTGCCTGATTCCTTTGGATTCTGATGCTGACAGGCGTGTCCTCCGAATGCGCATGGTGTTCCGACAGATCTGAGTTCCATCCGTGGCTTCAAAGTGGAGGCATGCATTTGAAAGATGCAATGTGGGAGAGTATAATAACCCGGCACCTATTCGTTTAGTATGCCATGATCCCCCATTAGCTATATGTAGTTCTCACTCGAGAAAACGATAAGAGGAAAAAAAACGATAACGATGCTCATACATATACACTATATATTGTTTATGGGACATGTTCGAAGCAGCAAGTTTTGCAGATGCAAGCTTTTCCCCGAAAAACAGATGTGAAGCTGGTGGTTGTAAGGTGATATCCCACAAAGAAAACACAATATGAATTGTTTCATGAGGGTGTGAAGCCAGCACTTGGAAAAACGATAAGAGGAAAAAAAAACGATAACGCGTGGAAACACCATTTGATTGACATCGGGGTTTTTAGACAGCCCCATGTTGATTTAATTCCTGTCCCATGTCATTAATTACTGAGTTAGTTGCTGCCAATTTAAACTTTGGCTTCTCTGCCGGCAGGAGTGGGACAATCGCACGATTATGCCGGATGACAGCGTTTCAGGGGTCTCGCAGTGGTCGCACAAGCGGCCGGCAGAGTGGTGGCCAGAGGATGAGGGCTACCGTGGCTGGTGCTCTGTCTGCATTAGCCGCCTGCACAGGTCCTTCCACCAGACCAGAGACACCAAGGTTGAGCCTCCGGTTGCCACCCCAAGAAATAATGTATTTTAAGGGGCTAATTTGAGAGCAAAACATTCAACATAGTTTGGGATAGTAACCTATGAATATTCAAGTGGCGAAGAGTTCTAGTGAACCGCAAGCAATGGGTTAGTCGGTGAGATGTGGTGCAGGGTTCCACTTTTAATGATTATAACCACCAATCTTACTCATGGGGTATTCATCCAATCTTGTGACGTAAAATCGCATCCAATTCCAATAGATTTTCAGGAAAACATCCCAACCCCATACAGTATATCTAGATATATGTAGTCGAAGGAAGTTTAGAAGTCAAACTTCCGACAATATGGACAGATGAAAAAGAAGAGCAGGGCAGAGGCAGAGAGAAGAGAAAGATTAGAAGAGAGAAGATCAGGAGAGAAAGAGTCAGAAGAAAGAAGATGTAGATGCGCGAAAAGGTAGGAAAGTCGCGATTCACTGTGTTTTTCCAATGATTTGTGGCTCCGAAGGGTCGAAAAGTAGGCTCGCTAAAGCGGCGGGTGCGGAGCCAGCTGGCCAGATGAGAGATGAAAAATTGCACGCCGTTGTGGCCCGAAGCACATTTCCAAGTCAAAATGTACAAAGCACACCATTCTCGGACCACTTTTGGAAGTTGAGATGTCGAAAAAGTGCACGCCGTTGTGGCGCGAAGCACATTTCCAAGTCAAAATGTACAAAACACACCAAGTGCGGACCACTTTTGGAAGTTGGATGTTGAAAAAGTGCACGCCGTTGTGGCGCGAAGCACATTTCGAAGTCAAAATGTTAAAAACACTAGGGCTTCGGACCACTTTTGGAGGTTCAGATGTGCTTCCCTTCGCTTCGCTTAACTACATTACACTACACTACGCTACACAGATAGATAGATAGACAGATAGGCAGCTAGACAGCTAGACAGATGAAGGGGAGAGAGAGACAGAGAAATAGATAGATAGATAGATAGATAGATAGACAGACAGACAGATAGATAGATAGATAGATAGGTAATTAGATGAAAGAGCGAGAGAGAGAGAGAGAGAGAGAGAGAGAGAAAAAGAGAGGAGACCTTAACCACCTTTCGGTCCATCAGTGGCTTCGCTCTGCCATCCTTGATTCACAACAACCAATCTCTCCTATAGGTTTCCTATTTTTGAAACTTCCGCCACCGCCTTGTGCGGTACTACTGGTACATACCCATCACATACCATATACCCGCTATATATCTATAGGCCCCATTGATCGAACGAAGTTTAGAAGTCAAACTTCCGACAATATGGGCAGATGAAAAGCAGAAATCGAAGAACCTTTTTTACCACCACTGTCTTTCTGATGAATTCTTCAGTCTGAAGCCATACCTTGCCATCTCAGGTGTCGTCGAAGCCGAGAGTACGGAGAATACCGAGAATACCGAGAGCATCGGGTGCGTGCCGTGGTCAAAGTCTCCAGTGAAGGAGAGGCCCAAGAAGCGATGGTGAAGAAAGCCAGATGGCACGGTCACTTTGTTGAAAGCAGTTATAATCGAGCTGGTTTTGAATTGCTGATGGTGTTTTCATGACGGACCACCTGTCACAAACTGAAAGTACAGCATAATCCCAGTGACAATTTCCAACCACATTGGGTAAGCTTGACAGTTTTTGGTCTAGTAGCTATATTCGAGAGAAATGGATATCGCAAAAAGGGTTGTCTGTGGTTGATTGGGTTGTTACCTCGTGGGTATACTTTGTAAAACATCGAGGATGCCATGGAGAAATTTGACTTTCTTTTTACTATATTTTCACCTGTGCAGAAGCTTTTGCGTCTCACCGAACCGCATCGAAAAGAAAATGGATTCACGGTAGGGAGAAGTAAATATCATAAACCAAACACTTGGGTGTTGTAAGTCATACTTTAGAAACTATTGGATATCATGAAGAATTGTCTTGGAGGAAACCAGTGCATATCAGGAAGCATTCGGAGAAACGATTGGGTGTTGTGAGCCGTATGGGAGAGGCATTCATGAAACGTGAGTCAAAATGCAGGGAGTACCATTGGAAACTATGAGTCTTTCAGAGAATGAATTATTGGAGATCATAAATAGTGCAAGAGAAACCTGCGGATGTTGTGAGCCATTTGGGGAACCCGGTTGGATATCACGAGTAGCTAGACGGTGGCAAGTGTGGTTTGGTTGCTGGATATTGGATTGCAGTGAATCATGCCGCGCGCTGCTTGCCTAGGTCATATCGACCACCACTTCGTGGAGGATGGCATTCTGAAGATTCGATTCAAGGTAGCTTCCTCCGCCTCGAGCTTTGTCAAAGCCGAGTCATCCGCTGAGTTTGCCTGATTTGATTGGCAATTTGGTCTTTGATTTTGCGACAGCCTGCTAGTTCAATCGATGTAGTAGGGATATGTGTGTCAAGCCTCTGACGTCAAAGGGGTAACACTTTCAAACTTTATGGTCCAATGCTGCTGGTTTCGCTCAGCCAAAAAAAATGCAAGCTTGCGAACCAGCGTGGCTCATTTTTTTGTCTTTGCTTCAATTCAGACGGATACCAATCTAGTGAAATTGAAATCTCATGGCGGTTGCCAGCAGTGAGACCTCGAAGGAACAAGTGCGCAGTTGGCGCCTGGTTCTCGTTCTGTTTTCCTCAAACTTCAACCAAGACCCGACAATTTTGACAAAACAAGTGGCTGATCGCCGGTAGTGCGGGCCCCCGTGCCGTAATTTTCCCTGGGTTCCAAGATGGCTTTCAACTCGTTGACCACTGTTTCAATTTGTTGCTTATGGTGGCGCTGAAGATGAGAAAGGTTTTGATGTTGATGATAGACTATTTTTTTGTGGAGACCATTCATGAGAATTGTTCGCTGCAACCCCTACGTTGCTCCGCATCGGAATCAGAAGTGGCCGAAGTACATAATAGTACATAGCACATATATCATATATTACACCACATATAAGTCAGAGCGGGTGGCAAGTTTGATCCCTTAGGAAGATAAGTTGATGTAATGATCCCTGTCAACGTAGTAGTCAGAGGGGGTGGTGGATTTTGATCCCTCAACAAGATAAGTTCATGTTCTTATTATCATCAACATAGAAGTCAGAGGGGGTGGCAAAATTTAATCCCTTTATGAAGATAAGTTGAGGATATGGATTGGATCCTTTGGATCATTCCCCCATTCCCTGTCAAGCACCAGAAAGATGAAGATGACAATGATGATGATGATGATGATGATGAGGAGGAGGAGTCTCTTGAGGTGTGGAGCAACGTCCGGGTTGGAGGGAAATTGTTTTGGATGATCTTGCACCCCTTCCTGCTTCTTGGTGCAGTGTACAAATGTTTCATAGCACATGCATTTTTTACACATCATCATGTGATTCAATAACTTTATATATATATATAGATAGAGATTGATGTAGGTAAATGTAGATGCCAATGTAAATATCTAAACGTATAAGTTTGACACATCCGGTGGTTATGATATGTACGCATATATGATATTGAATATAAGCGCAGTAGCCACGCTGTAAAGCTAGTCGTGCGTATAATATTGCGGTATATTTATTCCTGTGCGCGCGCGCTTGCGTCATGCTTGCCGCAACCCTCGCGTGAATTGTTGGACTGATCAGCTTGTGAGTCGGGAACTAGCGCTAGCTAGCTAGCTTGTGAGTTGAGTATCAATTAAGATCAACGAGCAGTTACAGCTCTGGGTTGCTTCACATTTGTCGCCCCACCCTGTCACCCTTGTCTGTCCAAGTTTGGCTACCTGTGCGTCTGACAGGCCAAGCGGTTTCGTGCTGCGCGTTGTAGCGCGTGCTATGCCCTTGGCGTGCTTTTTCAATCGCAGCTTATGTTTTATCGCTTAAATATGGTAGCGGAGCGTGGGTCCTGCAGACCCTTGGTAAGGCAGCCGTGCACGGGCGTCTGTCCAAGTTTGGCTACCTGTGCGTCTGACAGGCCAGGCGGTTTTGTGCTGCGCGTTGTAGCGCGTGCTATGCCCTTGGCGTGCTTTTTCAATCGCAGCTTAAGTTGCATCGCTTAAATATGGAGCGGTGCGTGGGTCCTGCGGACTCTTGGTAAGGCAGTGCACGGGCGTCTGTCCAAGTTTGGCTACCTGTGCGTCTGACAGGCCAAGTGGTTTTGTGCTGCGCGTTGTAGCGCGTGCTATGCCAGATGGCGTGCTTTTCAATCGCAGCTTATGTTGCATCGCTTAAGTATATGGTAGCGGAGCGTGGATCCTGCAGAGCAAACCCCAAAACAAATGGAACAAGCCATTAAGGCAGCCATGCACGGGCTGGAGTGTGCGTGTTTATTAAACGCAATTATACAAGTCAATGGGTTTTGGCAGCGTATGGCAAGTGCCCAATCTGATGCTTGGGGTGAAGTGTTCCACATTTTGTGCCAGGTTGGGGCTCATGCGCTAGACTTCAGCAGTCCTCTACGTTCCCAGGCCGGGTGGGCAGTGGGGGTATGCCGCTACTATCGGCAAAACGAAATCAGTGCTACCCGGAATCCGGAACAGTTCAAAACCGCAATATTGTTGGAGAAACTTCGTGACCTGATAGCAAGGGCAGTACGCGTGGCTCGGATTGGCCCGGGCGCTTCATCTGCTCGCAGCTGTTTTCCTTCAAGACTGTCACGTCTGCTTCGCTGTCTGCGTCTTTGACCTCGCCAAAGTTTGATGTCGCACTTCAGCGCTTTCCCTTCTTGCCACTTGCCCGCATTGCGGCTTCATCATTAAGATTCTTGTGTTTTACTTACACTCCCACGCGCCCATTAACATATAGGCGGTGGCTTTGATCCTATCGGTGAGTCTGATCACCTCTTCATCGCTGCTGGCCGCGCTGTCCTTTTGACTTGGTCCAACCATCTGGCACAAGGCGAGCTTGCCCACTGTCACTTGAAGAGAAGGGTCTCGGTATTTGCTTGGGTGTGTGAGGACCGCTGGCATCTTTCGTCCTGCGCGGCGATGTTGAAGATGTGCCAGTGCGTTGGTGTTTCTCGGTTGCATCTGTGCCGTTATTTCCACATGTCTCCTGGCAATTCTCAAGTTTCGTCCTCGTTGGCATGTCCGTTCGCTTGGCCATGTATAGTCTGAAGGTAACTACTTCATGACATCAGTTTTGGACAGACTTCGTCGCAGTGTGGAGCACGAGTCTTCTTGGTGTTCCTTGGCGCCATACATGAACTTTCTGACTCTGATTGACACAGATAAGCTGCAGTTGAACTCATGTCATGTCCAAATTATCGCGTCCTGAGGTCACTACTTTATGACTTGCATTGAGGAGCGTTTGACGCATCAGTGTGGTCAGGGGTGTTCCATGTCTTTCCAATGCCACTTGGATGCAAGTCTTCCATAATCAGGCTTTCTTGCTTCACTGTTCTCTACCAGATAAATTATCGCTTTCCAAATTTGGTCGCGAATGTGGTCCTGCTTTTTCAGGGGTGCCCTTTGCGATTGGCAAGCGGCTGGAGGCTGCGTGGCCTTGCGAAAAGAGCGCTTCGTTTGGATTGTGGCAGGACACTCGCTGGTGTGTCTTGGCCGGAAGATAAGTTAACTGATTCTCTGGGCTTTGCTTTCTCCCAGTGTCATTCAATGAATGATTTTCTGCTGGTTGTCGCCCACAGGTGACCGCCTGGTGCGACAGATTGCTTTTCGGAATCTTTCTACCCTCAAATTGCCCAGCGCTGGGGACGACGTCACCTGGACCCGGTTGCCGCGGCCACATCATTACAAGAGATTCCGCGGTAAAGGGTGCCAGTCTTAGAATGTTGCAGCAGCGTCCATGTGCTGCACGACATTCTGTTCTCGCGTCCTTATAAAACTCTGTCTTCAGGATGCCCATCCTTCCGGAAGCTGTGGCTGAAGTTGCTTCTGTTTCTTCGAAGCAGCACCTCAGCCGCATATATGTTTGTTTGTGTGTGTGTGTGCGCGCAGCTGCCTTTAGTTCGCGTGGTCGCGTTAGCTCCAGGGCCCGCGAACGGATGAATATGAGCTTCTTGTCTGCACCAGGACATCTCAGTGCTTGCCGAGCTGCGCCAACAAGCCTATAGCGTCATGGCCATGCTCCTTTTTTCGACTAAGGCGGTTGCTTGCGAAGCTGCGGTGACTGGGTTGTATTAGAACAACGGCGGTCATGCATTGTCGACCATCTCTCTTCGGCCACTGCTGTGGGCCGCGTGACTAAGGTCAGAGAAGGAAAAGGCGTACGTCAGTTACAAAGAGTCTCTTGACTGCAAACGGTGCTGAACAGACGCAAGGATGTCAGATCAAAGGGAATCACCAGGTTGGAAATCAAGCCCGTTCTGTGCCCAGGTCTTCCTTGTCAAGGCGCCAGAAGCGCCGACGCTTCGAAGTCCTCTACTGGTGTAATGTGCACATCAATGCCGTGCTCCGAAATGAACGTCGGCGACGCTGTCACGAGAAGAACATGGACCGCATCTTTGAAGAGTACAGCGCCGAAGTGGCGAAGGAATTGGAAAGGGATACTGTTGCCCACAGTCCCTTGGCTTGTATAATCGTTCTGCGGCATGTAGGTCACATTTCGGTTCTGGAATGTTCTGGTGTGCAGTTCGTGTTCTTCCCTAGGTGCAGAAAGGAAACCTGGGAAAGCTTCTGGCCGCACAGGACACTTCACCATTTGTGAGCCACGCAGGTTGTCGAAAACATTGATTTACAGAGTATAGGTGTTGCATGATGATCAAGAGTAGAAGGCACTGGGGAGCCCACGGAAGTTACAGAAGCCAAACCCTTCTTGTGTCGGATTGTGCGCTTCAAACCTGCTTATTATCGACATGAACGTTGCAGGAAAATGGAAAAAGGACACTTCAGGAGCTTTTTTTCGCTTCAATTCATTTTGTCACTGTTGCTCTTTGAACACGTCTGACGCTAAAGCTTCTGAACTGGCCTTGCCTGTTTCTTTGCTGCCTTAATACTTTTTTCTGACAGGAAATGCTGAGAAGCTTCCCTTCACGCGCTTCAAAGACACTTGTCTCGTTGATGCATTCAGATCTGTAGGCATTAAAGTTCCCTATGCAGCTTCGGGGCCTTTCTGGGCCATATCGGATGGAAAGGAGATGCTTGCTCCTTTCGGGCAACTTGTCTAAACAGGTGGTCTGCGGCAGGTTTAGCCTTGTGAAGATTCTTTTGCATGGTGCTTGTGGCTGCCGTTCGTCATCTGGCTTTTCCAAGGTATACCATTCGTGAGCTCCCATCCTTCAACTCTTCGCGGCTCCCTCCTGGGAAGTATGTCTTGTACGCGCGAAACCACTTCAACGGTTTCCGTGTTTTTGATGATGGCTCATGCCGCTTGCAGTTGAATCACAAGACTCATGTAGGTGCCGAGCCTCGTTGCAATATCGAAGACCAGTTTGAGCTTGCCTTTGAAGTGATATCAATGAAGCCGGGTGATGTCGCAGGAAGCCAAATTGACGCTTGCGGCGGTGCACGCCCAATCTCGTTGGCAGAGGAACTGTGTTCAAGTTCAAACTTCCCACTCCAGAAGGAACTTGGGGCAGCCCGAGATCCAAGGACTATTCTTCAGCACCAGTACTTGTTTCGGAATGGTGAGCAAGTGGACAGGTTTCGTGCTTGGTCCCAACTCGCAGACTTCCAAGCAGCTCTGTTCCCAGTGCTCAAAACATTCCAAAGATTTCCAATGACATTTTGGATCTTGCCTATTCCTTTTGACACTCAGGGGAAAGCAAGTGATTGGCAGATTCGGCTGGAGTGCTGCTCTTTGTTTCTAACGCTAATCAAAGACAACAAGCTGGTTCAGCTAGAGGCTCTGCTTCTGACTTTCTATTGGCCGGAAATTCAGCGCAATACAGGGCTATTGGATATTGTGAATACTTCCAGTATTGCTTTGAGCCGCAGAGATCGGGTTAAGAGGTTGGTAAGCGCATGGCTTCTGTTGCATGTCCTCAGCATGCCCATTCCAGACGACAAAGGATATTTGATTCCAAAGCCAATGCCTCGCTGCCTCTTCTACCGATATGTTCGTGTCTATCGTGTTTTGCAAACTTTTCTCTCCCAAGACAGGCCCAAAAAACGATACGTTGCTCGGCTTGCTGATGTTTGTGGAGGGAGTGATGCTCCTCAGTCCGCTGTAGTCTCCTGCGTCTTGGCTTGCACTGGTGAAGAAGTGTGCCAGCTTGACGTCACGGAATCATGCACCATCCTCGATCTGAAGCAGAGGATCGCGGCCGTTCTTCGACATCTGCCTTTTGCTGTGACTTTGTTATTGGATGGACGCGCTCTTCCACTGGGCGCAGTTTGGGCAGTAATCGGTTTCCCACCTCCACCGTTGCTACACGTGGTTTTGATCCCCAGGACAAATGATTACAAGCTGGATCTCTCCAACGCCATCCAACAGCAAGAGCATGACGCCATCATCAAAATACTGTCTGCTGGCCAAGACCCAGATTGCAGTGGCGTCGTGCACCATACGCGGCGCAAGGAGCGCGTTCTCCTCACTGCAGCGTCTGCGGGTTTCTTTTACTCTGTGCACCTCTTGCTTTCCGCGCTTGCAGATCCGAGCACAGTGGGTCACGACAGCCGAAGCGCCTTGCACATAGCAGTGCTCAAAGATTCTCCAATGACTTTACGGCTACTTCTGAACAGCAAGGCCGATGTCCACGTCCAAGATTTCGGGGGGGAAACTCCATTGCATTACGCCGCGGTTTGTGAGAAGCCGCAGCTGGCTCAACAATTACTTCAAGCTGGAGCAGACCCTCTGGATTGGAGAGGCCAGGCCCCTCTTGTGTGCAGCAAAGAGGCAGACACCAGGGCTTGTCTGATGGATGGGTGTTGGGACAGGCTTTCGTTTACCGCAGTATTCCTTTTGAACAAGGACATTTTTGCCACATACGAGATGTGCGACCAGCTTGCCCAGCTGTGTCGCAATCTTCAGCACTGCGTCCGCCAAGATGCACTAGGCGGAAGTTCAAACCAGAATGCCCTTTTCCAAATCCAGGCGAACAAAGAAGCAGCACGAGCCCGCAAAATGCGCCGGATCGTCACATGGACTGCCGGTGGCATGGAATTAGCTGTTCGCGGAGATGCCGCCGATGCCTTAGTGCCACTGAACTACAAACATTTTGTTGCTTGCCAAGACATCGAGACATTGGCTTGGCTGAATCCACATAGCCGTGATCGTCATGTCCGGTTTGAGCAGAAGGACCACGTGTACTTCGTGCATGGGCTGAGGACCCACGGATCCGTCACTGGAATGATCCACGCTTTTGCGCGTGCGTTTGATGCAGATGCCGTCATTCGCAAGATGATTCACAGCGACCGCTGGCCTCGTCCAAACTATCTTCGCCCGGTCCTGTCAGAGGCTTCTCTGCAGCGCGTGCGTCAGGTTGATCCAGAACTTGTCCTTGCACTTTTGGATGTTCCCCGCAACGACCCATGGATTTGTTGCAGAATCCAGACCTTGCGTGAACATCATCCCGACCTATGTGATTCTTTAGCTTTGAGCCCGGAAGAAATCAAAAAAATGTGGGGCACCAATGCTCTCGAAGCTGCTGCATGTGGTACCTACATGCACCATCTATTTGAGGCGTACCTCAACGGATACGCGGTGCCTCAGTTCAGTCCTGAAATTGCAATGCTCCAAACATTTTTGCAGGGAATGCCGGGATGGCGGGCGTATCGGACTGAATGGGTCATCTTTGGAGAAGACGAAAATCTTGCTGGTTCCATAGACTTCTGTGCCAAAGATGAAAAAGGAACTCTGGCTCTGATAGATTGGAAGAGGTCTGGTGCTTTAGAAACAAAATATTCCTCCCCTTGCTCCATGCTTCCACCGCTGGCTCACCTGCCAGATTGTGCTGGAACGCATTACAGACTTCAACTGAATGCGTACAGATACATCATTGAAAAGTATTACGGACACACAGTGGCAAAGATGTTGGTCGTTGGTACGCATCCCGATCGGCAGCTGGAGCCGTTCGTGGACGACGTGCCGCGCTTGGAGCAGGAAACTGAAGCCGTCATGCACATCTGGAGGATGAAGGCTAAAGACGCCCGCGGTGCTGGTTTGGAGCATGCGCAACTCACAGTTTGCTCTGCTGTCAATGCAGAGCCGTTGCTTGAGTGCGCATTGAGCATCTTTGCAGCTAGAAATGACAGCTTGCTCCACACGGTTAGGATAGCTGTCTCCAATGCATGCGGTGTCCCTCGCTTCGGTGTTCAAGTTCTCCGTGAGGCAGGGCTCCTCGATGATTGGGAGTCGTGGGAAGAGTGCGGTTGTCCAGACTCTGTTTTCGTAGTCAAGAAGCCCTTTTCCTTGGCTTGGACAGAAGACCTTTTCATGGCCATCGAGAATAAACAAACCTCAGAGATCTACGAAGTTCTGCAAAGAGGGCAAGACCCGAATTGTGTGCTACAAGAGAGCGCTCTCACCCACGCCGTCGTTCAAGGCAACGTCTGTGCAGTGCAAATCCTTTTGCGCGCCGGTGCTGTGCCTGATTTCATTCCTGTGGGGCAACATCATGCAGCAATACACATGGCTGCAATCGCGGATTCGCCGGCCTGCTTGGAAATGCTGTTGCGGTCTCAGGCAGAACCGAACCTACCAGATTTGAGGGGCATGCTCCCAATCCATCATGCAATGTGCGTAGAGACTGCGGGCCAAGTCGAAGCAGTTGACATCTTGTTGGAATGGGGCGCAGATGTTCTGCAGAGAGATTATGATGGAGAATCCGCCTTCTCCTTGGCCTCGCCGGGCAGTTGTGTCGCTGCTTGCATGGACCAATGCTGGAAGCAGCTGACTATGCTTGACATTGTGCATCGGCAGTCGGAGGACTTGGTCGGGTACCTTATGGGATCGGGTTGTCTTCGAGAGCTTCGGCAAACCTGCTGGGTCCTGCGCAAATGCTTTGAATTCCGCGGGCTCTCAGCAGAATATGTTATAGGTGGCTGTTCCAACATGAGCCAAGAAATCCTGGCTACCGTCGATGCGTCCACTGAGCAACAACCACGCGTGGTGCTTCACCCTTCAAACGGATTGATGAAGCAAAACTTGCGCACTGGCTTGCCTAGGTTTGAGCAGGACAGGTGTGGAGGGGCTTCTCAAGAAGAAGATTTCAATGCACGTATCGAGCAGGAGGTCCAACATTTGGACGAGGTGAATGGCGTCGACCGCAGTAGCCCCAGAGTCGCAGGAGAAGCTCGGCGGGCAGAGCCTGCGGCAGAGCAACAAGTAAAGGAAGAAGCTGATGCAGAAGATCCGCGGTGTGACGACGAGGATGATCCTTTGTTGGCTTCCGTGAAAAGGAGACGGCTCATGAAAGGTGCGAGCACTACCCGCCATGAGTTTGATCAAATGTTTCGGAATTACGACGAGTGGAACCAAGCCTTGGCCAGTGAGATCCCGGACGTGGCCAAAGGCAATGATACAATTTTATCCCGGGTGAAGACGTTAAGGCAGCAAGTCCGTACAAGATTCCCTACTTGGTCCGATTACCTGATATGTCTCGGCGCAGCTGCCCTTGCCGCCAATGTCGCCAGACTTACTGATCGTCTCTTCGTGGGTGACAATGCTTTTTTCCTTTGGCTTGTGGAAGGGGATCGGCACATTCGAGTTCACGACGGCTTTTGCTATATATACAATGATGATGGTGCTTTCTTGCCATACAGTGGCACCCCACCGCAGGCGGTCCTTCTTCGCTTGTCACTTTTCTTCGGTCACTTGGAAGGCATCTTTAGGCGCATGAGCCCAACAGCCAGGCGCAATGATGTAGACATTTTGTCATCCATTGCAGCAGACCGTGCGAAGTTCTCAGAGGAAGACAGCTTTCTGCAGGCTTGCAACGAAGCTGCCATTTGGCAGCAAACTTTGGCGCCTGCCCATCAGGCGGATGATGATGATGATGATGGTGTGGACTTGGCGGCAGAAGTTCAGATGCAGGACAATCAAAATAAAAAGGCAAGGGACGAATGGACAATTGCTCTGGGAAAGCGAGTATGGAAGATTTGTCAGTCCATCCGAAGTGACCTCATGCACGAGAAGCTCGTGTCGTTATTAGTTGAGTGGTGTGAGACCCCCCGATCGCAGAAGCCATGCGTTGCGTACGAAGACACATTTGTTCAATATGATGTTAGCAGAGAGACAATTCTGAAACACTTGCCCAAATCCTCTGACCATGACTGCTACATCTACATTCCTCACCCATTGCTGGACCCAACTCTAGAGCAACACAAACAGCGCCTTCACAAGTTCTACCAGCAAACCTTTTGGGCCAACAACGATGTCTTCGCCTGCAACATGGCTGCCATGGCGTTAGCCAAGCGAGGCTTCAACGTCGATCGATGCTTTATTGGTGAATCCCCGGGGGGTGTGGGGCAGTCCTTGTTCTCCATGCACATCGACGCAATGCTCGGGTCAAACCATGGGTATTTCGACCCCAATGTGTGGTATAATGAAGATGAGCTTCGAAAACAAGTGGAATCCTTTGCTCGCTGCATAGTAGTTAGTAGTTACCGGGCAGGAGGCGCCGGAATCGCATAAGAAATTACACTTGGATCTTTTCAAGAAGACGATGTCCGGAGATGGGATAGCCGGACGGAAGCCCTACGGCTATACCACACGCATGTTCAGCGTCGTGGGTTGGAAGCGGCTAGAAGTGAACCGCATGATGGTTTTTGCGGGTATAACCAAGGCCAACTTTCAGTCCGTCATGCGTCGAGCTTTCGTGTGGAAACCAAAAGCCCGCTTTCATCCACAGTCTGTACTGCAACAAGCCCATGCCGACCATGAAAAAGACGGACATTTCGTAGCTGATCCGACCTTAAAGCAGTTCTTGATAAGCTCAGGTGCTTGCGCTGCTGGCTTGCGTCTACAGCATGCATTCGAACTGCAGCATAGTCGAGATGATTGCGTGCAAATGATCGAGGACTACGCTACAGGCGGGGATGGGTTTTTGACCGAAGACAAAATGCGGAAGGCTTGTGATTTGGAGCTCCGGGTTCGCCATCAAGAAACTGCCATGGGCGGAGTTGGCCTCCTGCACGTTTCAGATTCACAAGAGGAGCGAGATTTAGAAGAGAAGCAGTACACGGCCCTGCGAGATTGCCTGGTAGAGCACATGCTTGAGACGTGCGTCAGCGACATCACTATCTGGGAGTTCAAAAGATTTCATGGAGGCGTGCAGAACAGGCCGAATGCAACTCATCAAACAATGTTCAAAGAGCTGCAATCCAAAAACTTTATGCAAAAAGGTTGCCGGAAGGGGAAGACCAAGGAAGTTCTACAGCCAAAAATTGCTTGTGATGTGAAGTTTGAAGATGTTGTTCCTCTGGAAAGGGTGCGTGAGGATACCGCCTTTCCGGAGACCATGAATGTTGTGCAGCTGCGAAGGTATTTGGATGGCAACCCCTGTCGCCACAACAATGTTGGTGTCGTGAAACAATATCTCACAGAGCGCCTTGGAGAAGAAAAGCGAAGGAGAGGCCGGCCTGGTGCGGATGATCAAATGAGAAAACACAGTTTGCAGCAGGAGTTTGACAAGTTAGAGACCTATGAGAATATTTGCCAGCAGCTGGGGGACGCAGCCGAGACGCAATCATCTCAAACCCCACGGCGCAGAAGATGGAAAGCGCCAGATGTGCTGCTGCAGGGTCCTGCCGATGACTTTGCGTCCGTGTCAGCAAAATACAAGTATTGTGGCGAAAGGAAATTGCGAGCCCGGCGCTACGCATGTCAGAATTCTGCCCAGAGGTGTGCCAGGCGCATCCAGACACAGCTGTATGGCCACACAATCGATTTGGATATCGAGAACTGCTGTGCGACTCTTGTGCTCCAACTTTTGCACAAATTGAAGCCGAACCCGCCTATGCCGGATGCAGCGCTGCAGGCTCTCAAGCGCTGGGTCGACAGCCGTGCAAGTGTATGCCGCGAGGAGTTAGGTGTCACACCCCAAGAAGGGAAGAAGCTGGTCACAGCTTTGTTGTCTGGAGCAACACCTAGTGCGTCGCAAGCCACAATCAACTTTATCAAAAACATTCAGAGAGCGTCCATCTACCTTCGTTGGCTAGCATGTTCTGTGCTCATTGAAGATTATGAGGAGCTAGAGAAGAGAAGCGATAAGCCTTATCCAGGAGCAACTGTTTTTTCCTACATGTGGACAGCCGTAGAGGATTTCGTGTTGGAATCCTGGTGCAACTTCTTGCTCCGGAGACGACCCACCCATTTGTCGCTCCATTTTGATGGGGTGCGGGTCGATGAACACACTGTTGGTGATGTTGAGGGCTTGATATCAGAGTCTGAAAGCAAAGTCAAGGAATCCACTGGGTTCATTGTAAAGATTCGGCAGAAGACTCATAATTACTTCATGCAAGCCTTGAGAGCTTTGGATTCAGTTTTGGTGGATGGTGTTCCTCCCGAGCTGCGGGAGGCTCCAAACTGCATTCCTTGCGCGTTGTGGCACCTGGCCAGTGCTGATGACAAGGAAACCTGTCTGCAAGCATTTATCAACCTTGAAGCCGTCCAGAATTCATACGCTGCTGAGAGAAAATACCGCACTTACAGGCAATGTGCTGAGCTACTGCAGGTTCAAATGATTCCAACTGTAGGTGCGTGCGACAAGCCCGGGCACTACTTGCTACACAGTGAAAATAATGGCAGCCCTCATTGCGTGTCCCTGCGTGTCCTTGAACTTGAGGAAGCCGAGTCTTTGAGTGTAGTCGTCACAGACGAGGCCAGGCAGTACAAACTCACAGCGGCAGCCTTTGCTGACCTCGCGCTGAATTCCACTGACTCTTCCACGATGGTCTCCTTTCGCGTGAGCCCAAGAGAGGGGGAGGAGACAAGTTCGTGCTTGCTGGATCTACAAGCAGGCTCCTCTGCACCATCCTCTGAAGAGGAAAGCACCCTCTTCGAACAGCCAAACTTCATTGACAGTGAGTTTTCTACTCCGAGGTCTTCGATGGGCTCTGCTATCCCAGCCTTCATGCTGTTTCCAGAACTGATAAAGGAGCGCGTTTCACTGCTCGAAGGGTTGTGCTGCGATTATGTTCCGCTACTAGCAAGCCAGCCAAGCTTGTGGAACAAGATTCCATCAACTGGGGCTGCGCTATCGCAAACAGAATGGCTCGCAGAAATTTGTGAAGCCAGGCGACAACTACACACGGCTTGGTCGTCTACAAGCTCAACATTCCCAGCGCCCGCTGATGAAGCAGTGTGTCGTGTAGACAAAAGATTGAAAGTCTACATGTCAATGCTCAGGGTCCATCGTGATACCCCTGGTGCTGTCGACGTTGTGGGTGAACTCCCAAACCCCTGCGACAGTCAAGTTAGCAAGCGGACCTGGGAGGCGCAGGCAATGTCTTGCCGGCAAAAAATTCGGCAAATGCAGGATGCACGAGGAGGGGCTACCTCAGATGAAGAAGTTTGCCTGCCAGAAAACTCTTTTGTGGTGGATGATGATGGAAGGGTGGTCTTTGCGGATATTGTATTGGATTCTTTGGAAGAGGAGACTACAGAATACTTGGAGGCGATTTGTGTCAACAACATTCGGAAGATCAACGGCCGGTTCAAGTGCGCCCTCTGCCCCTTCAGATCCTTCTGCCGTCTGCGGCAGTTGCGAGACCATGTCCAGAAGTACCACAGCAGAAAAGCGCAGTTTGTGTGCTCAGGCACGAAGCAGATGAAGATTATCTTGGCCCTTCACGACGCAGACTGTGTGCAGAGAACTCGCGGAGGCAACTTCCTCTGGAGAAGCTCTTTGATCCTGCAAAGAGATGTGGAGCCGCCTCTAGCCTGTGAGACCAACAGCATAGACAAGTCACTCAGGTTGATTCTCACTGGGCTTGGCCCCAAGTATGTGGAGTTTGTCATTGAGATCCATCGGGTGTCAATTTATCTTCGCTGGCTCGCGTGCTCCATTTTGAAGGAAGAGTATGAGGAGTTGGAGAAAAACAGTGACAAACCATATCCTGGTGCCACCACCTTCTTCTACATGTGGGCTGCAATCGAAGATGCAGTATTGGAGCATTGGTGCAACTTGCTTCTGAAAAAGCGGCCAAAGCATTTGTCCTTACACTTTGACGGGGTGCGTGTGAGCACAGACATCGCAACCGATATGGATGCATTAATACTTGAATGTGAGCAGCATATCCGAGAACAGACAGGCTTTGCTGTCAGAATTCGGGAAAAACAGCACAAGCATTTCATTGCGCACCTGTCAAGCCTACCGTCGGAAAAGTTGGAGGAAGTGCCGACTGAGCTTGTTCAGGCCCCAAATTGCATCCCATGCGCTCTTTGGCATTTGACGCCTGCCGCAGAAAAGCGCGTATGCCTTGGAAAGTTCATGCAAGCTGACACGCCAGAGAATGCTTATGCGACCGAGAGAAACTACCGCACCTACTCTCAATGCTCAGTCCTCCTTGGCATCTGCTTGTCTGGTTCTATGGGGCTTGCCTGTGATGAACCTGGAAAATATTTGATTCACAGCGAAAACAATGGTTCCCCCCATTGCGTTGCTGTGGAAGTACTGGAGGAAAATGATCTCATGATTGCAGTGGTGTTTGATGGTCGTTCTCGCTATAGATGCAGTCCCACAGCATTGAAGCAGGCTGCAGCTGCAGCGACAGACCAATCAACCATGGTCTCATTTCGTGTTCGCGACAATGCACACGACCATTCCATTTCCCAAAAGTGTTTGTTGGACCTTCAGGCCGGAGCCAGTTCAGAGGAAGAAGAGGCCGGAGCTGAAAGCGCGTTTATCGTTGATGACGAAGGAGACATCAGGTTTGCGGACAATGTGCTGGACTCCATGGAGGAAGAAGTCCAAGAGTACATGTCTGAAATTAAAGCGGAAAACATCCGCAAGATCGATGGGCGGTACATCTGTGCCTTGTGCCCGTTCAGATCATTTCATCGTCTGCCCCAGCTGCGAGCACACGTGGGAAGGTACCATGTAGCTGCATGGCAGTTTGTATGCTCAGGCAAGAAGCAGCTGAAGGTCATCCTTGCCTTGCACGATGCAGATTGCGGCCGGAAACAGTTTGGCGCAGAGTATCTTTTCCGAAGTTCCTTACTTCTCCGAAGGCAAGTGTCCCCACCGCTGAGTTGCCAGCAAAACGGCATAGATAAATTCATCCGGCTCGTGTTTTCTGGAGAGGGACCTATGTATGTCAACGCAGACGCCATTGGAGAGACTGTTGTTGCCAGACGGGTGTTGAACATTTATTATGACAAATCCTTCGCCGAAATCCTTCTTCGAGAGATCGTATTGCATCATTCCAACGAGCCTTGGCCTTTGCTTAGCGTGCGGGTTTGTCAGCTGTCAAGTCCTTTTGTGATTTGAACAAGTTTGTTTGTTCATGTTGAGTTGTTAACTTTTATGGGAGTGGCAAATCAAGGTTGCAAGCATCTGGCCTCGCCTCCACTTGCGTGCCCTAGAGTCAGGGAACGTGCTCGGCATGCTTTACCCTTCCCATGCCCGTCACTGGTGGCCTCTCATCGAAGACGTGTTCATGTCCAATCATGTGAAGGAAATCGGTGAGAACATCTTTAAGAGTTTGGAACGCAATGAGGAGTTCCTTTCTCTTTCAGTTGATGCCACGTTGAAGGTGTGCATGACCATCCAGGGTCAAGCCAGCCACCGAGCACCGGCCGCTGTTCGCAATGCTGCCTGCTTTGACGATGAGAGTTCTTTGCGGCGTGTGTTGACAATCAGGGGCCGCACAGGTGCTGTCGTTGGCATGGTCCCCATCTCGCATGAAGATGCCAACAGAGTCGCTGCAACATTCACCAGCCACCTCTCACCCATCGCTCTGGCTCAGGTGAAGTTTGTTGCAAGCGACAGTCCATCTTTGAAACTGTTCCGGGAGATCAAAGCCGTTTGCAGGCATCTCCAATGCATTTCATTGGATCCAGTGCACCTGGCCATCGTGTACGAATACGCCCAGTGGGGCAAGAAATCTGCGGGCTCCAGGGTGCTCAGGCATCTTCTGAAAAAATGCGGTCAGCAAGACCTGTCCAAAAGCATGGATTCTTGGGGCCCATTTTTTTCCGGCTTGAGGCCCGCAGCCCTGAGCAGGGAAGAAGAGCAGGCCCGACAAAAAATTTTGGACGGTAGCATGAGTCAAGCCAGGGCCAAACGCATCCTAGAGGCATTAGATGCAAATACACCACTCCTTTCCCGAATCACATTCGTGGAAACGCTCGCAGCCATCTGCACTTGTTTCCCTAATGAAGTGAGCCGAAGAGTCACCGGTACCAACAAAGAAGTCCGGAAAATTCTGTGGGCAGCGGCAGCACCGGATCGAATGGAATGGTTGTTCAACAACCTGCGAGTCCGGCATGCCATGACTCCGGCCCAGAGAGCTTTGTTACCAAGCGGAACCTCTTCGAATGAAGCACTACATGCTGAAATTAATGCGTGGTCAAGGACAAATCATGCGCTGCATCAAAGCACTCTGCGATTGAAACTTCAAATCATGCAATTCGGCAAGCTGGTGGCACATCACGCTGCCACCTGCTTCCCTACAATCAAGCAGTGCAGCGAATCAGTGCTGCTGGCGCGGTGCTTGGCTTCGGAGGATTGGCCGGATGAGAAGTGGAAAGCATGCTGCAAAGGCACTGAGAAGGCACATCTTCCTTTGCACAAGGACAGAGTGCAGGAGGCGGCGCAGGTCCGGCAGTGGAATGCTGCCAATGTGATGAAAGGTACGGAAACACCATGTCAAAAAACGCACGGTTCACACTGTGAGGCGGCACCGCTCGATTCGTTCAGCTGGTGTTAAGATTGCACCAAAGCGAAATCCAATGCGAGCATAGCATGTCACAGTATCAGCTATGGGAAAGGAAACGCAAGTCAAACCCAAACCGTTCAGAACTTGCACTTTGACTGCAGCTGCATCAACATTAAAAACGGAGTATACAGAAGATGATAAGTACTGATGATACTGTGTCGCTGCAAGCTCATCTGGCCAAGTATTGGACCTTCCGCTTCGGTAGAAAAAGAATACTTTTGCTTGGCTGCTTGCGTGCAAAGTGATTGCGAAATTTGTGTCGGCAGTTTGAATGGACGGGTGGTGACGTGTAACTTCGGAGTTTGTCGGATTGCACATGCCAAGATGCCAGCTTAGTTTGATCATGTGAGCCAGGCCGCTGAAGCTTCTCGAACATTCTTCGCAAGCTGCAGAGGCCACAGTGCATTTGAAAGGTTTTGGGTGTTTCAAAACCCCATTAACCGTATGCTTTAATGTGTTAGCTGTGCCCCCAGTTGATGGAACAGCTGGGTAACTAGTGGGCGCATCTTTGAGTTGCTTGGACTGGTGTCCTGAAACTTTGGCAAATAACTTTAATCTGCAGATTGATGGTGTTGTCTGCCGTGAAAGCTATTCAGTCCCCCCGTACTCTCCCCTGGCACACTAGTGCTAGATGCGTTTTCAATCAAACCTGCAACCAGCATCGTCTGGGATACTTCGATCCAGCTGGTTTTGTTGTGTGTGTGTGTGCAAAATTCTTGCACAGGGCCTGGTTTTTGATTCCGGCGTGACGGCTTTTCAAACATGAAGGGTGGGCAGAGGGGATTTGAAAATCTCTGCCCAACGAAGCTCTTTGCAAGCATCCCATGACGGCACGGATAGATCACCCATGTGTACCTGTGCCAAACCAGTTTGAACTGTTGATTTCCGTTCCTGTTCAATGCTGTGCCGTCAATTCCATTCACACAGTTTCGAATTCTGTTGATCGGATACTTTTTTGACCCCAACTCGGACTTCTAGGGGCACCCACTTTCGATCACCAGCTTCAACTTTCAAAACCAGTCCAGTGTGTGCACAGGCGCTGTCTAAACAATTTGCCTGGGAAGCGCTGTGTTTCCGCGGGCTGTGAGAAGATGAGAAGCTTCAGAAGTTAGCAGCCCCACCCGCTCCTTCCCACCAAGCAGATTGATTCATCATCGAGAAGTTATTTCGCAACCAAAGAGATTTATTTTTCAGAATTGCACCTATATATCTATTTGATCTAGGAGGCGATATTATACTGTTGGGGCTAGGAACGAAATAAACCCAAAAGGTCCTCTCCACATATATATATATATATGTATATATATATATACATATTAAGAACCACACAGTGAAACAGTTGTTGATCAAAACGCTAATGAATCCAGTAGGTTCTAAGACAAGACAAACATTCGTTGAAATAATATTTTAATTCAGAAATGAAATTGAAACCACAACATGATTGCTAGATCTAGATTTGGTCATGGCTCAAGATCGAGGATGGGCAACGAGGGCATTTGAGTGCAATATATGAGGATAATCCCGGGAATCTGGACCAAAAGTGGCTGGGATGAGGGGGCATCTCACCTTTGTTTTCTGCCTTGCACATACAACAATGAAATACATTGTCTTCATTTGGGAAGTTCCTTGGACGTGTTTCATGTTCCTTCGCCCCTCTGCTCTGTTGCTTGCAATCTTGCATCCATTTTTTCAGAGTGGCTGTAAATACACTTGGTTTTGTCCGAAAATAAGGTACCTCGGTACCCCCCAGGACCCCCCATGGTAATCATTTTCCCTATCAAAAATGCTGTTTTGGGGTATTCCATGGTATTCCCTATTTTCAGACACAAAGCAGCTGAGAAATTGGGCACTCGCCGGCCTCGTCGCGGAGCCATGCCTGCGCCATGTGGACGTGACCAACAACCATGGGGAACTAACCAAAGGATCGGATAGTGGGAATATCACAGGGAAAATCATCTATACACTATGAACTGAAATATACTGAGTTGTAGTGATCTATAGCACTGATTATAGCACATATACATACATACATTCCATTCCATTCCATTCCATTCCATTCCATTCCATTCCAGTCCAGTCCAGTCCAGTCCAGTCCAGTCCAGTCCAGTACATACATACATACATTAATACATTACATGCATACATACATACCTGCGTACGTACGTACGTATGGGCAAATGATAGTAATTCACTAGCCTGAAATGAGGCAATATTGGGATAGTTCTCATTACTAAGCATGATTCCAGGTAGGTCGCAGTAAGGTCCTTATAATGTAACTTATAGTTGTTGTAGCCAACCAAAATGACACACTATGATACTTGGCGATTCAACTGAGTCCAAGGTGATGCCGAAAAGGATATCTTACCCATGTATACCCATGTGAACCAAAAGCATGGGATCATGCCGTTTTTAATGGCCATTTTAAGGGAACAATATTTTTGTATGGGTCAAAGTTGGGTACTCAATAATTTTTTACTACCGACCGGCCATTCTGTGCAATTGAAGGAACCTGACTGTGTGGCTTCATTTCCGACTGCAAAGGGTTTGTTAAAGATGTAGCTAAAGTATATCTGCATGATTTATCACAAGTCCGCACCTGAATTCAGATCATGTTTGATTGTTTCCTCAGTGAGGTGACTTGAGATCCTTCAAATGATCAACACATATGTCATAGAATTGTATAGACTTGTACGGGCCGTTGAGTTTTTTAAACGCATCCAGGAATATTGTCAATCTTGTGTTCAAGTCGGTGATTTTGGGATCCCAAATCCCACATGTGGGTATACACCTATCTGAACATTGTGTATCCCAACTGGGCCAATCTTCAACCCCAAATGGTTTCATGGTATTTGGGGCTTTCCTAAAATGGAAGTACTCCCAGTTCTCATCTATTTTAATAATCTTAATAGGATTTTCCATGTTTTTCTCCATCCATTTGGGGACACCCCCATTTACCCATAGGATCCATGGTGCTGGTATATATATGCTAACATGACTGGGGTATATTGATGGGATCCATGGCACACCATATATAGCAGCACCATGGATCCTATGGGTTATGTTAAAATATGTTCAAGGTACCTGATATTGTAAGTGTTTTTAATCATGTTTTCAATTAACCAAATGATGGGAATATAGTGTTTTTAACCAACCACATAATTCCAAATAATGGGTTATGGAAACCCGCATCGAAACCCAAAGATCTGAACCCACCACAGCGTGCCTGCAAAGACTCCACCGAGACAGCGCCAAAGTCACCATCTGTGAAGCTGACATATCGACCCTTAGCGCAAAAACGGGAGATCTGGGGTCATTTTTTATGTGCACCAAAATAATCCAAGGATTTTCAATAGAAATAGGGATAGTCATAGGGGTACCCTCTGGTAAACGTTTACAAAAAACTATGGAAAATCACCATGCTATTAATGGGAAAATCCACTATTTGAATGGCCATTTTCAATAGCTATGTTAAATTACCAGAGGGTATATATGGATAAATATGATATGATAAATAAGTAACTTGTAAAATATTGAAGGATCATCTTCCCACGGAAAAAAAACATGCTGATGTTTGAGGCCGGAAAGTGCAAGCATGGTTTGAAACATGTTGAACCCCTAAGCAAGGGCTAAAGAAACCAGAGCGGAGGCAACTTCATCTTTGAACAGTTGCGTTCTGTTGCGTCCTAATGAGAGGCCTATCTTATATCCAGACTCTTCAAACCGAGGGGTTGCCCGGTTGCCCCCAATGTCCCCAATTCTCCCAGGTTCTCCCCACTTTTCCAAAGGCGCCTGCAGGCGCAAGAAGAGTTGGAGCCCTTGTCGAGTAGCAATGTCCCAAAGCCCATTCACCTCCACGTTGGGATTGTCTTCGACCAACAGCTCCTGACATTCTTCGCCCATCCTAAGATGAAAACTATGAAACACCACCAGAAACCATGGTGGATGTATGGTTTAACACTACTATACACTACTAGGGGGATGGGATTATCAATCATCATGGTATTTTAATGGGTGAAACCCCACTGTTTTGTGGGGCAACTTCGGAAAAAAAACACTGGGCTGTTGAATTGTACTGTTTTGGTAGCGAATGATGTCATTTTTGGGTGGGTGACTGGCGTAGTTCATCAACCAGGGTTTATTAGTGTATCCCCAAAGTTGATGGTTTTCAGACCAAAGATGTTCAAATATGTTCAATGAGTTCGTATACTTCCTCAGTGGAAGACCCCCTTTTGATAGATGATGTTTCGCGGTACATGAAGGAAAACTCTTGACGTAGCATACTCAGACAAAGTTTTTCCAGGGTCTCCTGTAATCTTCGAATCGTTGGCTCTTTCCATTTGCCATCGATGACCAGATCCTGTGCCGTATCTTGCAAACAGCTATGAGTGTTTGCTGGCCCAAATGGCCCTCTAGGAATAGCGAGATGCGGTACCGCTAGAAACTGATGAATAATGTATAGAGGCATACAATAAGGGGCAATTTTGAAACAACCACATCTGGAAAAACATGGACAGAACATGACAAAACCGCATTCTCATGGGCCACATAGGGTGACTAGAACAATGGTCCATATTTTTACCAGCCATGGCGGCCGTATGGGCTCAAACATGCTCCATGAGGTTAAGAGTACTTCCCGCTTGGTTGCATCAATTAATGTCAACCAACCAGATATGGGCCATGCCTAGATAAAAACAAGACTATAACTAAACACACATGATTTATATATATATAATACAAACATAACCAACTATACATATGGTATACATGTCATCAAATATAATATATACACACATGATCAAACATGTATATATATATATATGTATGTATATATATATGTATATATATATGTGTATATATGTATATATATATATGTATATATATGTGTAATCATACACATACACGATATATATATATGCTACCCTATGCTACCCCTCCTAAGACCAATCTTTCCAGATAGGGAAGGGCACCAAAAAACATACAGCAGGATGATATTTCTCACGACCTCACTGGCCATCGCCAAACTGCTGCTTCGTAAACTAGGAGTCCTATGAAATTTCCTATGAAACATGATGAATCATGGGATTATAATGGGATAAACCATCTACCAATTGGTGCAGGATTTCTTCCATCCACAGTAGCTATGGAAAATCGCAATTTTTAGTAAGTAAAAGTGTCTATAAATGGGCCATTTTCTATAATTAGCATTAATTAGCTATGTTATGCTATGTTAGTTTACTGGAGGGGAATTCTTACTGTCTAATTCTGTCAGATTCTCATTCCGTCCATTCAAAAATCGGATCCTCAATCCTGGCTAACAGAATTTCTTGGGACAATGTCTGGTGAAGAAACACATTTGCATAAGCTAATACAGCAGTCTATATACGCCTACAGTATATACTTGTTGGATAATTATCCATGTGTATTCATTTGTAGAGCTAGACACCTCCATGACTTGGGGGTTAATAGTAACCAGTTAACATGTTTTTATCAGAAACAAAGAGTGGGATTTGATCAACATAAATTGGGTCAACAGATCGAATCGGAAGATCACCAGCAATGACAAGGAGGAACATCATGTAGAACTGCGGATTTTCAAGATTTCAACGGCCATCTCAGGAACCGATTGATTGGAGGTACCTACCATATATAAGGCCTATTTTTCAGGCCTATGTAAGGGAATATCCCCACAAAATATGGCCTTATATGGCCATTGATGTTCAGTATTTTCAACTGCCATACAGATTTCTCTACCGAAGTGCACGGGGTACGACAAATTCTCTCCACGCATCTGTTTTCCAAACGACGCATCTGTTTCCCTGTGGCGCTGCGCCCGCTGCGTCTCTGGCTATGGGTCAAACTTGGGTATCCCAGTGATGGTTGAACACAAAATACTATAGAACATATAATAGTATAGTTGGTTATGTTTGTATATATTATATATATAAATCATGAACACAAAATACTGGTTTGAACATATGTTTTCCACACATAGAATTTCTGGTCCCAGGATGTCCCGTTGGTGGGTTTGTCAACAGGAGACTCAGGTGACCACCAAAGTTTTGATGTTTTAGAAATAAACGTTCCTTATTACCCTCTGATAAACTAACATAACTATGGAAAAGCATCATTTTATAGCTGGGTAAATTCACTATTTCGACTGGGCCATGGCTTCAATGGCTATGTAACAAATTACCAGAGGATAACATCGATATTTTATGGGTATACCTCGTTTCCAGACACACGCTTAAGTAATCATGGTGTGTTATATATGTCATATGACAAAAAAACGCCATTCAATTAATTATATCCCTTTATCCCATCATGATCCATCATGATATCCCATGAAATCTCATGAAATCTCTATATTTTCAGACACACCCAGGTCTATTCAGGTCTATCCAGTTTTGATCCATCCCCATTCCTACTGCCACTTCGGGTCTTCGCTTCAGGCGCCAAGCGACACAGCCTGGCAAAATGTCTCCTGAGCGGTCACAACAGGTGGGTCTGAAAATGGCCATAGCCAGTTCTTTACTTTATATGTTTTTCACAGGGAAAATGCGTTTTTTTTTTAAACATGTTAAAAACAACAACAACAATTGGGGTACATACTCTATGTTCAGACAAACCCATATGGTCATGCAACCCGTGTTCCTCCCCTCATTGGGTTGTTTCCAGTGACTTTTTGCTTGAAACCAGTAGATATCAGGGGGGTCCTGCCACACTAAGCCAGGAATGTCAAGGGCATCCAAAGATCCAAAGTCAGATGGGCTTCAAATAGCTAATTCTTGGATGGAAACTGCAGAACTGGAAAAGACAAGGACAATCAAACCTGCCTGGTGGTCTGAAACACCCTGAATACTTTTATATAGCATCTGTTACCTGTTACAATGTGGGGCCCCCAGTCGATAGCGTTCAGTTGGTGAACATAACTACAATTTCACGTTTGGGTTTATGGTAGTTATAACCATAGTTAGATGGGGTTATGTTCACCAACTTATAACGTTTGGGGGCCCCACATTGTAGTACTTTTGGATCTTCATGCATCTTTTCTCGTGGACAAAATAAACATCTTTGAAACTCTTGAAACCACTAGCTGATTGTTAAATCACCACCATTCTCCGGGCTTGCATACATCAAATTCACTTGTTCTGGCCTTCCGGAAAGCATCAAAACTACTGAAGCTTCCCAGTGGCTGGTCCCACCAAGTGCACTTGCAGAAAATGCCCGCGGTACTTCTGCAACGCCTCCCATAGGAGGCGACCCACTTCTTCCGGGTCGTTGTTGTAGGCACCGCAGCCCAGGTCGGGAATCACCAAGACTCCTGGACGTCCCAACACTTCATAAGCAGCTGCCAGCATGGTGTCCTAATCCGGAGAGGAGGATGGAACTGATGGAAATCACCATGGAAACCACCAACCAGTCTCTTGTTATATTTACATACATACGCATGTCTGTATGCGTGTATGTCATGTATGTATGTGTGTATCTGAACGTTTCAGGGTGAGCAGGGGTTATCCCTGCGTATTGGCTATGCAAGTACATAATTAGATAGATGAATGACAGATAGACAGAGTTCATGAGGCCTAAGAAGTCAAAACAAAACTCAGCTGGCATCAGTTCACACATGTTCACACCATCGAGTCTCAAACTTCTTCAGCACCACTTCCCGGTACACCTTTGGATCTTTGGGCGCATCGATGGGCGCATCTTTAACCCCAGTGTTCTTATTCGGCATTGCCACACTGACGATGGGCACTTTTACCACCTCTGGAAGGAATGGATAGCCCACGTTGGTGCCACCACGAAAGACTTCCACATTGGGGCTGATGATGCAACCTCAACCGGAAAAGGTGACTTTTCCTGGGCTCAAACGTGAAAACCATAGTCCTTCATAAATCCCAAATTGGAAAGTACAAGACCCAGTTTTGGTGGTTATATGATATATATATATATGATATATATATATATGATAAATATATATATAGTTTTCGTTTATTATGTTTTATATGTTTTGTTGTGTGGTTTTTAGTTGGGAAAACCTATGGAAAAGCCCATGCCCTGTTTTATGGGAATCATATGGATCAGCAAAACTGGGATGGAGCCACTAGATATTTATTGGAAAACAGTATGTCATGGTATGCCAATGCATAAATAATACATATCTTGTGAAAAATGTTCATGGTGGGTTGCTGCTTTGCCTGATATTTTGGATGTTGTACAGTGATGGGTCACAGCATCGGGGGGATTCAACTTGAGCCAAGTCCCAATCGACCCGACAGTTTGTGGCTACTTCTCATCCCACCTTCTGGAACTGGCTGGGCACTAATCCAACTTTCAGACCTACAATGTGGGCCCCCCAGTCGATAGCGTTCAGTTGGTGAACATAACTACAATTTCACGTTTGGGTTTTATGGTAGTTATAACCATAGTTAGATGGGGTTATGTTCACCAACTTATAACGTTTGGGGGGCCCCACATTGATAGGATAAGCCCAGGCGCCAGTTTCCGGAATATGGCAACTCCACGGTCTCCCGGGTCCTTTCTGCGGAGGCTGACAGTGAAGCGAAGGTCGACATCCCTCGAGCTCCGCCAGCTCTGTGGCCACAGAAAGGGACTTGAAGAAGGTGGAACGGACACCTGGGCGCGGCAGATGACTCGGCCATCCTGGATGAATTGATTCTTTACCCATGACGGATCCATGGTGCTGGTATGCTAACATGACTGGGGTATATTGATGGGATCCATGGAGCACCATATATAGCAGCACCATGGATCCGTCATGATTATGATTCTTTCAAGAAAATCATGAACTGATTCAATAGCCATCCATAGCTTTCATTCGTTGAAATACTGCTTGTCGTCCAACATGGAGAGATATCCTGGTTTTCTCGTCAAATGGATTGACCAAAAACTATAACTAGGGATATTTAGAAGTAACATGGATTTGGTTTCAGGTAAATCTACAGGACAATCTAGATTTATCTGTGTATCATGAAGTACGGATGTGATGTGTCAATTCCATTCAATTCCAATATCAAAATATTGTTTCTATGGAAGTCCAGGATCGATTCTATCTAACTCTGCCTGTCAACCTTACCTTGGATCCACCCAGTGAGAGTCGCATCCGGTTTCATCGAATTCACATGAATTTAATACCCATAGGATCCATGCATGGTATATATGCTAACATTTGGGGTATATTGATGGTAAATGTTACCATATATAGCATACATGGATCCTATGGGATATAAGAATAGTATTATAACCATCTTCCGTAAGAAGTACCGCTTGGAACCAATCTAAAATAGCTTGCGGAAAACACAACATATTGGGATAGTACCTGAAAAGCTGAACGAAGAATCCAGTGGAGCCATGTGACAATGTCAAACATTTTCCAAACATGAGGTTTACTGCCTGATTGGCATTGCATCTCGTGTCATATCATATCACATCGCATTAGCCTTTGCAAATCAATGTAATGTCGTGCTAAACTGTTCCATACCAGACCAGGCAAAGGATTACTCGCACTCACACACGCGTACATACGTGCAGTACCCAGCCTTGCATTTCACGACATGTTGCAGCGCGACTTTTAACAGAAAAACTTTTGTGTTCTAAGCGGACACATGCAAGTCAATGGGGATAGGTCAAAATTGGGTATCCCTAAATTCAAATGGCCAATAACAAAATTCACCAAATCTGGGGTCCCCTAGGTCTGAATTCTTGACCCATACCCAAATATCAAACACCTTTGAAAAAAAATGATAAAACACCATCATCTGACAGTTCGCCTAGGTACAAATGGACTCTTCAAGAGCATGTCGGCCACCGGTCAGAAAGCCTCCCCCACTTTGATAAGCAGAAGCTGCATTGATGCACACCGTCGGAAAGTTGTTCCGGACCCTCTCGCATGCAACATCTAACAATATTCCTGCAAAAGGGTTTCAAATCCGCCCCCAACAAGTAAAGCCCAAAGACAGGAAGAGATGAAAGTCGAATGCACCATGAATATCCAAAATGTGGTAAAACCAAAACCATAAACAATCCCCAATATTGCCATTTTCTTGGTGGTAGTAGAAATCATCGCTAGACGCGATAAACAATGGACACCATTGAACAGCAGAAAAAAATGAGGAACACATAGACTGTACTCCTCTGCAAAGAATCTATTGGAGGGCGACAATATCAAAGTATTTGCATATACATGATGTGACAAGATATTTCTATGTCATATATGTATATACACTATGATAGGAGATCATAGAAGGATCATCCATATACTGTGGATGTGTGCGAAATCCTGCACCAATTGGTAGCTGGTTTACCCTCTGGTAAACTAACATAACTATGGAAAATCACCATTTTCAATGGGAAAATCCACTATTTCTATGGCCATTTTCAATAGCTATTTTGACATAACCAGAGGGTATCCCATTATGACTAGCCCCATATCACAGTCCGCTTGTGTTTCCACCAGGACTCCCATAGGGCCACAACGGAACCGTCCTGGTGGATGATGATGCCAAGTAGTAGCTGCTGGCCCTGCTGGCAGAGTTCCCTTCACGATCTGCGTTCCTTCGCACATCTCCTTGACTGAAGTTCTTGGGCCAACATATATATATATATATACCTACATGCATGCATACATACAGACATTACATTACATTACATTACATAACATTACATTCCATTCCATTCCATACCATACCATACCATACATACTTTAGACTTCAGATACTATATAACTATATAATTATATATATAGTATATTTATTCATTATTACTAATGTACATTGAGCTTTTCTGTTTTTCTCTCCATCATCCAATTCTGGGATCTCCCACATTTGATGGTAAAAACTAGTTCCCTTCTAACCAATCCACAATTTTTTTGGGGGGATTCATCACGTCACATATAAATACATAAAATAGGACAAACAATTCAGAAAACCGCAATCATATCAATGTTCACGAGATCTGGGGCTTGGATGTTCCATGGCATTCAAACATAGGCAAAATTCCTTTCCTCTCCTGAAATTTCACCAAAAAAAATCAGTAAAAAAACATGATGAACATGTCAAGCCGGTATCTTTGATGAAGGTCAACCGGATGGTTTGTCCGTCCAAAGAGTAACCTCCAGCATCGCATGCAGCGATCGTCTGACGAACTGCCCCGAGGCGTCGCTGACGGTCTGGATCCTGGGCTAACTGGGAATCGTCCGGATTCGGGAAGCGAAAATGTAGAAAAACATAGGGTTCCTTGATTTAAGGCTATATAATTACAGCAAGTGCAACTAATTCTTATATTATATCATATTATATCATATTAAATCATATTATATCATGTTATATATATATATAATGATTATGATGTTGGTGGTTTCTCCAGCTACAAAGCTAAACCTTAACCTTCTCCCTTGTCTCATCTCAGCTCCTTGTTGTCGTGCCGTATCCAGGCGAAGCTCCCTTTGATCCTCGGCAAGGCACCGGCCGCGTCCTCGGAGGAATAGCTCGGCAGGGGTCGAGCTAACGGCGCCGCGGTGACACCTGGTTCTGGAGCTGGCGTTGCCCCCAAAAGATAATGAACCTCTATATATATATATTATATCTATACCTATATAATTAATGAGATTATAGTGAGATGAGAATGAACATATATGAAATTATAATGAGTTGTATACAATTTAAGGAGAACATCCTTTTGATATTTTGGGAATCGAATTAAAACCTATGGGTTGGGCCCCTGCATAGTATCAAAAAGATAGTCAACTTGGTCAGAAAATAATCTTGAACTTAGGGATGGGACAGAAACATGCGTCTTATTTGAGTTACAAAAACGAATTCTAGTCAATTTGAGGAACAATCATTAAACATATTGAACATTATTAAATTATATTCCCGGGTCTTGGGAAAACAATGAATTAACCTATTCCAAAGCACCACCAAGAAACCAGTGGATGGAGCTGGTGGAGACCCTGCCGGTTGCTCTCTAGATCTACTGCCCAAGCTCGACACCGGATGCCCAGCCCCTTCAGGGGGAACCCCAGGGTGGCCAGGGCCGGGCGAAGGTAGGTGGCCAACATGCTTGGCCCCCACCCAGCCACGCAAATTGCCGTAGCACACCTGTCGCCAGTTGCCCTGCTGACCAAGCAAGTCCACCAAAGTTCCACTTGGAATGGTACCTACCTGGCGTATTCAACCCCACAAATATGAGATGGGTATGTGATGCATGGGTCACAACTGATGACTCCCCAAAATCCGCTTTTCTACAATAGGTTCACGCGTACTGTAGAGAAACAAAACATCAGTGGTTCCCTTGTCAAGAGGGATGTGATATTATAATCATCCCAGGTGGCATGGAACATGATGAACATGGACTTCAAAAAATTCAGCATCGCCCAGCCACATGCCCGGTTGACGCTAAAGGTGTTGCATAGACCCGAACTTCTGGAAAGCCATCTGCTTGCTTCAACATTACCCTGCTCGCTGGAGGCCCTGCTGTTGGAAGCCCTGCTGCTCGAAGCCCTCCTGGTCCCGCTGCGAATCCAGCAGGTGCTGCAGGTCTAGGGCCCCAATGTGAAGGAGGCGGTCGCACCACCGAAGGCATGGAATGCTCCACTGTAAAACCCGGGCCCGGGCCAGGGACTCCGGGGCCAGGATACATGGGGGAGATGGGATAGGGCGGATAGGGCGGATAGGCGTGTGCCTGGGGACCCTGGGGATAGGGGGAATGTACCAATGGAGCCGCCTCCAAAGGACCTCGACCAGTCAGCAAACTGCAAACTTTGCCCATGAAACGTTGCTGCCACGGCGAGTGGATCAGCTGGATCAGTGCAACAACTTCTTTGGAGAATTCATTGAGAGTTGACATTTTTCGCGGAAAGTAGACATAACTATCATAACTAAAACATAGCTAAAACAAATGTTAAACAAATGTCATGCCTGTGTCACTTCGCAAGGCCTGTTTTCTGTGGATATATATGACTTACATGAAAGGACAGCTGGTGCTTGGTCATATCGTGGATTTTGCAAGTCCTTGGTCTGATCATTTTTTACGTCTGACCCAACTGAAAAACGGACCGGTTCAAGGCGCGGCGTGGCATAGCATCCCGGTTGGAAAATGGGGAGCACTCCAGGGGTCAACATCCCATGGTTGAGAACATCATTTTACTCATCAAAACTGGCATATCCTTGGGGTAAATCCTGGTAAATCCCCATTTCTTGACCACCCGAGCCGCCCGAGCCGCCCATCTGGGTAGTGAAAGCCTCAAATTTTGCTCCTTCAATGCTGCTGCTTGGATGGCTACTGTAAATTCCTGTGGTTGATGATTAAACCATATTACTGCGAAACCATCCCCAATATCACCAAGAAATCACCAAGAAAAGGCTGCTGTAAAGCATTCCAAATGGTAGGTTTATTAAGTTCAACATCATCTCGTCCCACTTGTCAATGATTAATCAATCCCTATGATTAAAGTTTAATCCCTATGTTTCATGATTAATGCCGATTATGAATAATCCAATCCCATCAGTATGTTGAACCATGTAGATTTAATCAAATCCTTCTGGTTAAGTCCATCTTTGGTCAATCATTTATATCCACTTCGATGAAATCCAACAATGTTAAGTCATAATCCCATTCATATTCCTCTAATATACCATTATCAAATGTTCCACAATGTTCTCTTAAGTCATACTCCCTTAATTTAATATAATATTCTGTAATATAATATAATGTAATATAATATAATATAATAATATAATATAATATAATAATATAATATAATAATATAATATAATATAATGTATACAGTATACATTATACATTTCCATTATCCCATAAATATCCCCTTCTATGAATATCCAACTATCCTATTTTCAACAATGTTCTATTCAGTCTATAGATTTCCCATAATTTCCCTTAATACCTTAAAACATCTTCCCGCGCCTTGTCGATTTGCCCCGCCCGTTCAGAGTTCAAGAAGAGCTGCAGGGCCAGCCGCGTGGCGCTGTGAATGACCCCATCCACACCATCGGCCTGGCTGCCGCCCAATTTATGCTGGTTCAACCCAGGAAAATGAGCAATTTCACCAGCAAAACATTGCAGAACTGAGGAATTCACCCAGCAAAAATGATGATTTCCCCGGCAAAACTGTGGATTTTACCTAGGAAAAACATGTGCTTTCGCCAGCAAAACATAGCACACCTATGGATTTAAGATGATTTAAGATGAAAACCATGTGATTCATGTGGATTAGCCAGAAAACTTCGGGATTGACAAAAAACCGGCAAACCTTGGGATTTCAACAGCATTCACATTAAAGAATTACTCTTGATCCAACATTGGGATTTGCCCACAAAACATGGGGATACAACCAGGACAAAAGGGGCTACGAGCATTGGATTTTAGGCAAAAATCCAATAGAGGTGCAGTGCTGGATGGGATGACATGCGTTTTCTCATAGTAACGGTTACGTCGTCGATGGGATGCTGGGATTTTGAAGAGGATTTTAGCCATACCAGACCTGCCATGTTGACCAAACATGACCAAACTAGAATAGGATAGAATGGGATGTGAACATATGTGAACCACAAAAGCTGGATTTCAGACTGCGATTTCAACCCGCACGCTTTTTTGTGGTGAGGTTCTCCAACTCTCAACCCACTGCCATGGGGATCGGGGTCAGACTTAGGAGCACTACAGATCGATTTTGATCACTCTGAATGACTCTAAATCATATACCCTCTGGTAAACTGACAGTTTGCTATTGAAAATGGCCATAGAAATAGTTGATTTACCATGATTTACCCATTAAGAATGGTGCTTTTCCATAGTTATGTTAGTTTACCATAGGGTAACCTAAGAAAATCCATCCCAGGTACATTCTACCAACCACGCCACAGTTGGATACAGTTGGTCATTTTGCATTGAAAAAGGCTGTGTTCCACTATTTCACTCACCTGAAATGAGGCCAGGTTCACACCATAAATGTGAGGGGGCCTCCCACCTGAAATAGGGCCATGGTGTAGCTGTCCCATGCTGTCCCTGGCTGGCCTCATTGCCCTGCAAGCCACAGGGAAAGCCTTGGTCTCTTAGCCAGGCTTCCATGCCTCGAACCACCTTTCAGCAGGAGTCACCTCTTGGTGAAATCCAGCCAGCTTCGCTGGTAGCCATGGAAAGATCCACCATTTTTCATAGGTAAAACGGTAAAACCATCCATTTCGATCCGGGCCATCTATACCATGGCGAACTGTTAGTCATAACCAGAGGCTAAATATGGCTAAATCCATTTCTGGAAAATCACATCACCATGTCAGCTGAGCAAAGTAAGTTTTGTTGGTTACATCCGAATTGTTGCTCATCGAATCGCCAAAAAATTCGCGGCTCCGGCTCTCACCTCTTCATCAGCTTCCAAGTCGGCCCCCACGGAATACGTTCGCATTTCCAGGTAGCCGCGCCTATCAGAGATTTCACGGAGGGTCCCAGATGGGTAGAAAAACCATCAAAATATTCACCCCCGGGGTGGGAAAACACCTTTTTTTGCAGCAAAAACATGGATGAACGTTAGGGTTGACCTATATGATGGAAACCACCAGCAACAAACGTGGACATACATGGGGATTCGACGTGATTCAACCATCTTGGTTTAACATGCTTTAACCATTCCATACCAACCATCCGAAAAACCTGGTATTTCCACAGCCGTTCCCACGCACCCTGGCACCGTGCCTCTTCAAGAACTCCTGGATCGCTTTGTTGTTGGCTGAGTGCCATGTCCCTGTCCTGGGACTGGCGGTACCTGGCAAATGGTATATTACCTGCGGTGGCTGTAAGGATTTTAAATGGTGTGTTCATATATATTCAGCTATCCATCCCAACAATATGATTCAGAGATATTCATAGAATGCTTTAGAAAACATATTTGAAAGCACCAGCACCAACAACAATGAACTGTATAGAAGAAATAGAAGAATCTGGCTTCTTTTGGTACATAGTTGAAATTCAAGGTTTTTTTTATCACCAACTTCTACGTTTGATCGTCCAAGTAGAAATCCTTCTCACAGTCCGCTCTCAGGGCACCACTGCGGGCCAAGAAATCCTGGGATTGCAAGCAAGTAGGGAAACCCGAAAGCGTAGATTGGTGGGGCTTAGGTGCTTGAATTTTGACCCATACCCAGGTCACATCATGTTATATGTTATCATCTAATGTATATAATTATGTAATATATGTAATATAATATAACATAATATAATCTAATGTGCTATAATATATTTTAATATAATATAATATATAATAAAATATATAATATAATCTATAATATAATATATAATATAATATATAATATAATAATATAATATAGTATAATATATAATATATAATATAATATATAATATAATATATAATATAATATATAATATAATATATAATATAATATATAATATAATCTATAATATAATAATATAATATAATATATATAATATATAATATAATATATAATATAATATATAGTATAATATATAATATAATATATAATATAATATATAATATAATATATAATATAATATATAATATAATATATAATATAATATATAATATAATATATAATATAATATATAATATATAATATAATATAATATATAATATAATATATAATATAATATATAATATAATATAATATATAATATAATATATAATGTAATATATAATATAATATAATATAATATATAATATAATATAATATATAATATAATATAATATATAACATAATATAATATAATATAATATAATAATATATAATAATATATATAATGTAATCAAGTATAATATAATAAACTATAATATAATATAATCATCTATCTTATCCTCTTTCCTGCCGGATATGTTCAATATTACAAAGTATCATACACATGATTCTTGCATGGATGGCAAATGCTAAAAGCTGACGATAGATTGGCAAGGAAGCTCTCAGTACTGGTTGGATTCTGGTGTTGGGCAGAAGCCCAATCTGAAGCAGGTTCTGTGTTTGCCCTTGGTATTTAAACCGTGCCTTGGCACCTTGGTTGTTGATTTTGAACAGTATACATTGGTATACATGCTATACCGATACAACATGTTGTTTGTGTATATATGCACGCCAACATGTATATAATAATAACAACAACCATAAAACTCATGATAGTAATAATGTGACAAGATTTTGGCCAAAAGTTGATATAGTTCTTGCCATTTTTGGCAAACATGCACATAGTTCTTGACATTTTGTTAGCACACATCAAAATAGTTCTGTATGTTTTTCTGAATCTGTTTGACATTTTCAAATATAGTTCTAGTCATAGTTTAAATAGTTCCATTCACCCAAGAAATAGTTCCAGCTGGGGGTACCCCTCCTGACCATAGCCTTAAATAAAGAGGACAGTGTTTCCGTGCATTTTTCACTGTTTCGTGGGGTGGGGCACTATCGATCATGTTACACTGCCTACTATAATGTAACTATATGTACGTGCTGCTACGTCACGCATGGGATGGGGTTGGGGTTGGGGGTGGGGTGGGGCAATAGTGTTCATATTATGTTCATACGTGAGATCTCCCAATTAGAGGGGTCTAAATTTTTGGATAAGGTTATTCTGGGAGATCTTCAATAACGGGGATATGAACTTGATGATGTACGTTAACATGCGGATTCGTACCAACAATGGATGTGGCGTCAAAGTCTTTTGCCTTGCTCTCCCAAAGAGATGATGAGACAACTTGTTGGATGGACTCTTGAAAAACATCACGGATGAAAGGTTTCCTCCAAGAAACGAAATAGTTTTACGCACTTGAACAGCAATAAAATTGTTGCTTTCCCCAATGGCAGGGATGCTTCATTTGCCAAAAGCGCCAGAAGAAATTCTACGCATTGGATTTGAGGAGAAAAAGACAGCAGCTCCCACTATCATGGTCACATTTTGTCACGGCTGTGAGACGTGGACCTGGTTTATCATATATTTACTTGATTCATCTTGATTCTATGACCCTGACTAGCAATACAGAAACCACGTTGGCAACAACATGCAACAACTATCTGGTTTTAGTGCCATGCCTGAAATGCGAAGACCGTTTCCACGTTCCATTGCCCGTCGACTGCCAGATGCCTGTACAGCTGTACAGCACCCCGGGTTCGGGGTCCACAGGCAGCAGCAAACGTGTGGCTGGCTGGGATATAGGAAATCTCTATATACCTCTATCACCACATGGATGCTCAAAATATCTCAAAATAATTCAACATAATACATGGGGAAACTCCTTCTGACAAGTTGGAATGCCAGAGAGTATGCCAAGTGGTTGAATTTCAGGCATCACACTGATCACACTTTAGTCATTCTAGCTTTCCTGGCCCCGGTGTAAAATCCACCAAGGCTTTTTAACACAGGATTCCACAGGTATCCAGCTTTCGAAAAGCGGGCGGCGCCTGATGCCTTTTTCTTGCTCATATTCTGCAATGAGAAATCTTTGGAGAGCGATCGTGGTCCATCTGCATCGCTCGGTTGAACAGGTGGTCAGGTGAGGATGGAAGATATGGAAGAAACATGCCAGCCCCACATGCATAAAACATGCAAAAATAACTGGCTTCAAATGGTTTCAACACATCAATCAAACAGTGAAAGTTCGGTGGGGGTTGACCAATGTTGGTCACTTACCGGTGAAACATTGCTGAAGTCTTCGCATTTCAAGTGAAGTCTTGCATCCTTTTTGCCCTCGACGTAAGTTGATTTGAAGGTCTCCACTGTTTCAAGTAAATTCCAGTGATTGTTTCGAAGCACACTTTGGCCATGCTGGTGTAAAACAGCAACCATTTCATTGGGGATAGGACCACAGTGACCACAGCTTTGATCTGTTGAGAAGGGCCGTTCCAAGCTTTGGTTCATAGCGTGGGTTTTTACCCCCAAAGACTCAAAGATCATCATCTCCAAAGGCCCAAACTATACCGAACATTATCTAACTTTATCTAACTATCCCTAACTATCCCTAACTTCTGGTATTCCTATATCCGCCGACCCCGGCAAACGCAAGGGGGAGCGCGCCAGGGAATAAGACATTCGACCCTTTAGGGTAGAAATGCAACAACAACAACAACAAGAACAAGAACAAGAACAAGAATCCGCCGACCCCGGCAGACGCAAGGGGGAGCGCGCCAGGGAATCCGCCGACCCCGGCCGACGCAAGGGGGAGCGCGTAAGGGAAGAAGAGGTACTACTACTACGACTACTACGACTACTACTACTACTACTACGACTACGACTACGACTACGACTACTACTACTACGACTACTACTACGACTACTACGACTACTACTACTACTACGACGACTACTACTACGACGACTACTACTACTACTACTACTTTTTTTCCGCCTTCTCCGTCCTTCACTGCCATGCTGTTTCCCCGTCCGGGGGCTGTGGTTTTGCGCGGTCTTTCCTCGCCCAAGCAAGGTGTTTTGGAGCGGGACAAGTAGCTCAGAAATCCTCATTTTGGAGGCTGGTTCATGGCACGGCAGGAGCAGCAGCAGCTTGACACCAGCAGCAGCAACAGGAGCGTCTCCAGGAGCAGGAGAAAAAAGTAGCTAAAATCATCATTTTCTATGGGTTTCAGAAGTTACGTTAGACATTTTTGCGGTGCAATTTCGGAACCTTTCCATCCTTCACTGCCATGGGGATTTGCCGCTGGGAGTGGTTCGCTTTTAGGCGTCGCAGCTAGACACCAGCAGCAGCAGCTGCAGCAGCAGCAGCAGTAGGGATCCGTCCTTCACTGCCATGGGGATTTGCCGCTGGGAGTGGTTCGCGTTTAGGCGTCGCAGCTAGCCACCAGCAGCAGCAGCAGCAGCAGCAGCAGGAGTGTCTTCAGCAGCAGGAGAAAAAAGTAGCTAAAATCATCATTTTCTATGGGTTTCAGAAGTTACGTTAGACATTTTTGCGGTGCAATTTCGGAACCTTTCCGTCCTTCACTGCCATGGGGATTTGCCGCTGGGAGTGGTTCGCTTTTAGGCGTCGCAGCTAGACACCAGCAGCAGCAGCAGCTGCAGCAGCAGCAGCAGTAGGGATCCGTCCTTCACTGCCATGGGAATTT